CCATGAAAACTCGACCCTAGGCAAGGGTGTGAGTCACTGATGAATGCCGCTCCAAGGCTTCATGCTGTGTGCTATGAGAACTGAAAAAGGCATTATAAGAATGCAAGAGTGGGAGGAGGATGAAGACAGATTGTGGTTGTTAGGAGGTTATTAATAAAAATCAAAATGTGTTTTTATGAGATGGGAGCCATTTCCTAAACAAGAAATTACTGCTGGGACTTTTGACATGCACCTTAAATGTCATCTAAAGGCTGCAGTGCCCTTGCTATCATGGGATACATCTGCATGTATAACCAGTGTCTTGCAATAATAATGAACTAATCTCCTGCTATTAACAGAATGTGCTAAACTTAGTATAGATTAGAAACCTGGGTCTTCTCTTGAGGTTGATCGAGACTGAAGCAGCCAGCCAGAGACTGGCTTAAAGCAGGAATGAGGAAACCTTTTCAACCCAAAGGCCACATTATCTCCTGGGCAACCTTCTGGGGGCCACATCTCAGCGGTGGGTGGGGCCAAAGGCAAAAGTGTGTGGAACAATGAATGTGAGTTCTGTATTATAGTAGGGTGGTTTCTACACACTACACACTCCCCCTCTGTCTTCTATCCGGGCAAACAAGAGGCATTATCAGTGTTCAAGGATGCATCCCAGCCAGGCAAAAACAAGGAGGGTGAAGAGCAGAACCTTTGAGGGAGAGGGAGTGTGGCCTGGGGGAAATCCCAAGAGCCAAATAGAAGGGGCTGGGAGGTTGCATTCAATTCTCGGGCCTGAGAATACTCAGGCTGCAGCTGATGGGAGTTGTAGTTCAAAACATCTGGAAGGAGCCAAGCTGGCAAAGGCTGAGCCACACTAACAGATGCTTCATCATCTTATAATCTTTTTTATTTTTTTTAGCTGTGGTGGTCTTTGTTGCTTTCTTGTAGAACCCCACTGCTCCTTGTCTTCTCCTTAGCCAATTGTTTCCCTCTTCTTCCCACATTCCACTGAATATCTGAAAAGTCAACGCATTTCCACTTAATCTTTCCGCCATGCTCCTTCACCCTTTTCCTCACGTTGCTATTTTCTTAAAAACTCTTTATTGTTCTCATAGCTTTCTTCTGAAGCCTTTCCAACTTAACTTCCTTCTTGAACTGTGGCTTCCAGAGCAGAGCCCTCAGGTGAGATCCTCCTAGCACTCTGTCAAGTGGACACTTCCCTCCCTTTTCTGGGAGCTGAAGTTCTCCTTGAAGGAGAATAAGGAAGTAAACCAGACCTTGAAGAACAATTCCTTAGTCTCTCACTGGATGTTGAATGATGGGCAAAGATTGAGCACATATTAGATATGTGTTTGGAGACATTCAGGTGTCCCCCTCCCTGCAGCAGATGCCTTAGTTAAATTTTAGATTTGATTCCATAGCACAGTAGTTCCAAACTTTTTGGGTGATTGTCCCCTTGGCTCCATAAACCCATCCCCAGTGTCCACTACCCTACCCTACGTATAAAGAGCATTATTCAGAGTAGCAGTTTCCACAACCCACTAAGTTAGATAATGACACAATAAAATTCAAAACAGTAAAAATTAATTGTACGTTGATCAAAAATTCAATGCCCTTAATTTAATTAATTTAACCAAAGTTATTAACTTGATCCAGTGACACCAGCTTTTCAATGTCTGATAGTCACTGTTACCAGCGTTTCCTTGCTGCCACCTAGATAATTCCACAGCCCCCCAGGGTGGGCTCCTGCTCATTTTGGGAAGCACATACTGAAAGTTTTTTGGTTTCATCAAGTGCTTTTAGAGAATTCATTTGATACAGGTTTGGACATTTACTATGCATTTTATGATTGTTGTTGTTGAAAAAGCATGTAAAACAAAACATTAGCACAAAACATTCCAAAAATTGCATTGAGAAAAAAAGAATCACAGGTGAGCAGTGCATCCTCCTTACACAAGTTGGAAAGAATATATCTCTATATTTTATATTTTAAAATATTTGTTTTGTTTTATTGCCCCCCCATATTTCTGATTAGCAGGTGGTTTATAAATATTAAAATAAAATAAATAAAAGGTAGGATCACTCCATTTTAAGTTTGACAGTGTTTCTTCAAAGTCCACTGAGGGCTTGTCCACATGGCCACTTGCTCTATTGTTTTCCTGCAGGGAAACCCAGTATTTACCACTGAATTGGAATAAACACCAATCAGTTTCTTTGCAGCTTGATGTTCTGATTCAGAGGTAAACAGTGTGCTTACTTGGGAAAGCGGTGGGACAAACGGAAAATCTCTTGGACCCATACTTTTTAGGCATGAGACAAGCAGAAGTGTGGATGAACCCTACGCCTTCCTTCAGCCTCACCTTTCTTAGTCTGTTGGCTTCTCTGCTCCCGGACTCCCTGTCCCTTCGTTTCCCTGCATAGGAACATAGGAAGCTGCCTCTTATTGTGTCAAACCATTGGTCCATCTAGCTCAGCATTGCCTTCACCGATTGGTGGTGGGTTTCCAGGATTTCAGACAATATTCTCTTCCAGCAATATTAGGAGACATCTGAAGGCAGCCCTGTTTAGGGAAGCTTTTAATGTTTAACAGACTATTGTATTTTAATATTTTGTTGGAAGCCGCCCAGAGTAACTGGGGAAACCCACCCAGATGAGTGGGGTATAAATAATAAACTATTATAATATTATTATTATTATAAGGATTGAACCTGGAACCTCCTGCAGGCAAAACAGATGCTCTACTGCTAAGCCGTTACTCTGTCACAAGGAATGCAAAGGGAGACAAATTTCCTTATCAGTGCATAGGAGAAGCACGTGATAAATTTCCTCATCACTAAGCTGTTTATCATTTATTTATTACATTGATATATCACCTTTATCTTCCAAGGATCTCAAAGGGGTGTACATCGTTCTACTCCTCTCCATTTCATTCTCACAACAACCCTGTGAGGTAGGTTAGGTGGTGACTGGCCAAAGGCACCTGCCTTTCTGTTTCCCATATCCATTGCGGACAGAGGCAAAACCTGTACGCCTAACCCCAACTGCCTTGGAGTAAGCCCAGCTAAATTCAATGGTACTTATTTTCTGAGTCGAGGTGGTTAGGATTGCAGCTCACTATCATTTGATGACCAAGGATTATTTTTTGTTTTGTTTCCGTAACATGGGTTTAAGCCACTAGATAATTTTTGGATTCTTATCTTTTGAACGGAAAGGGACTCTTCAGGAGGTATACATATTTATTTATTTTTTAAAAAATATTCCCTTGAAATATACAGACATGCAGCACCATCTACTGGAATAATAACATTTTAAGTAAGGGAACATTGTCATAAATATTGGTTCACATGACAAGGTGGGAGGGAGTCATGAAACAAATACATTGTGTGTGTGTTTGTGTATAATTTCACATACAGTGTAATGCTCAGCGTAGCCTTTTCTGGCATTTTCTTTTGCGGAGGAAATCTCTTCAATTGCACATGTGTGGGCCGAGCAAAGGGTTGTTGGTCCCTTGCCCACCCCCCCACCCCCAATATCTCTTGTGCATCTAAGAAATGAATTAACAGGCAGAGAAATTCTGCATAGTTTGTGAATGTCTGCCTCTCAAACAGAAGAAAAGGCACAGCTTTTTAAAAAATTGAATCGGTTTTTGAGATGCGGTGGGCATGAGTAAATGGGAGTGAGATGCCTACTGTCTGTGCATACGTGCACCTGGGTTTTTTAAAAAAGGCATAAAAACCTTCCAAACATAATGTAGAACCCCCCCCCCCCCATTTTAAAACTGTGCTCTCCAACAACACATACCGCTGGCTCATGTTATAAACGAGGAACTTATAGCGAAGTATTCCGTATAATAATGGGCACTTCCAAAAGACCTGCCTATGGAGCATTCATCCCGATTCGTTTGCAGGGAGGTCAGACAAAAGTCAATGAACCTTTCAGCGCATCCGTTCCACAAGAAATCTGAAGACCTCCCAATGGCGCCACCTCAATTTGCGACAGCCTGGAAATGCTCTTAGCTCTTATTTTAATATATATAATTTAATATATGACTATATATATATATATATATATGTTATTGCTGTTTAGTTGTTTAGTCATGTCCGACTCTTCGTGACCCCATGGACCAGAGCACGCCAGGCACTTCTGTCTTCCACTGCCTCCCGCAGCTTGGTCAAACTCATGCTGGTAGCTTCAAGATCGCTGTCCAACCATCTCATCCTCTGTCGCCCCCTTCTCCTTGTGCCCTCCATCTTTCCCAACATCAGGGTCTTTTCCAGGGAGCCTTCTCTTCTCATGAGGTGGCCAAAGTCTTGGAGCCTCAGCTTCAGGATCTGTCCTTCCAGTGAGCACTCAGGGCTGATTTCCTTCAGAATGGAGAGGTTTGATCTTCTTACGGTCCATGGGACTCTCCTCCAGCACCATAATTCAAAAGCATCTATTCTTTTGCAATCAGCCTTCTTTATGGTCCAGCTCTCACTTCCATGCATCACTACTGGGAAAACCATAGCTTGAACTATACGGACCTTTGTTGGCAAGGTGATGTCTCTGCTTTTTAAGATGCTGTGATGTCTCTGCTTTTTTGCTTTTTTTTTTTGCTTTTTAATTATATATATATATATATATATATATATATATATAAAATTAAAAATTTATATAATATATATATATGGGAATCTCATCTATATACAGTATGTGGAAATTAAACCCAGATTCAATGGGACTGGGATATCAGCCTATTCTGACGCCTCCGACGTGGCGCGCAAGCTGCGAAATGTTCGTGCTCACGAGGAGCGCTATAAACACTGGTCTGGAGGCGCCTCGTGTTGCCGAGTCGCCGCCGCCGCCTCCCCACCCGCCGGACCCCGAGTTTTATGAGAGGACGGGGCGTAGGGAGAATCCCACCTCCACAGCCCCGCTCTTGGCTTTATAAACCCGCCGGGCCCAGGATGAGGCCTGCCTGCCTGCCTGCCTGCGCGGCGGTTGCCAAGGCCTCGCGCCGGCCGTTGCCAAGGCAACCAACGGCGCGCGTCTGGCTTTGCTCAGGGCCGGCATCGGCGGCGGCGGCGGCGGGAGCCCCGAGCTGAGGAAGGGGCGCCATGAACGCCTTGGGCGACCGCGGCCATGGCGGAGCCGACTCCACCGCTTCCATACTGGCCGAGCTCGACTGGGACGACGGCTTCGCCATCCCCGTGGCCAACGCGGAAAACAAGGCTCTGGAGGACGAGGCGAGTTGGCGGGACTGGGTGGGGTGGGGTAAGAGAGGCCAGGGCGTTAATATGTTTAATTTCATAACGTGAAGATCTAAGGATGTTAATGTTTAAGTTAAATTTTATAAGAACTGTGATTTGGAAAACCGTTAAAAGGGCATGCAATGAAATTCAACCACGGGGAAGCGAGGAAGTCACTTAACAATGTTAATAAGTGTAATTTTTAATAAGGCTATGATTTATGTTTGTTTGTCTTATGTGCTTGTTTGTTTATAATGTTGTGAAAACCAATAAATTTTTTTTGAGAGGCAAGGGCAGGTGGGGTGGGACCTCCTCTTCCAAGCCCCCTTGGCTCCATCTCGGAGTCTGCCTTGGTCAGGCCGCACCTGGAGCGCTTTGTCCCGTTTTGGGGCGCCATCACTGAATAAGGACATGGACAAGCTGGAACACAGGCAAGAGACCAAGAGGGTGAAGGGTCTGGAAGCCTAGCCTGATGAGGAACGGTTGAAGGATTGGCATATGTTTAGCCTGGGGAAGAGGAAATACAGTGGTACCTCGGGTTACATACGCTTCAGGTTACATACGCTTCAGGTTACAGACTCCGCTAACCCAGAAATATTACCTCGGGTTAAGAACTTTGCTTCAGGATGAGAACAGAAATCGCGCAGTGGTGGCGCGGCAGCAACGGGAGGACCCATTAGCTAAAGTGGTGCTTCAGGTTAAGAACAGTTTCAGGTTAAGAACGGACCTCTGGAATGAATTAAGTACTTAACCCGAGGTACCACTGCATATCCACCTTTCACATATCTTCAGGGGTGTCCCATGGAAAGAGGGAGCCAGCTTGTTTTCTCCTGCTCTGGAGGGTAGAACTCGAACCAGTGGATTCAAGTTACCAGGAGGAAGGAGGTGCCAACTAAATGGCAGGAAGGACTTCCCGGCAGTGAGAGCTGCTCGAGGGTTGAACGGCCTCCCTCGGGAGTCTGCAGACTCCCCTTCCTTGGAGGTTTTTAAGCAGAGGTTCGATGGCCATCTGTCCCCTGGGTGCTTCGGTTGAGATTCCTGCATTGTGGGGGGTTGGACTAGATGACCCTCGGAGTCCCTTCCAAGTCTACATGTCTGTGATGCCGATTAAAAATGAGTGGGGCTGTAAAGGCTCCCCACTCCAAATGTTATTGGAGTGGGGAGGAGTGGGATCTCCTGGAAAGTGAATTGTGGGTTGGGTGATTTTGGCCGACCAGCCCCCCCAAGTGCAGGAATTTCCTCAACTGTGTGCTTAGTGTGCCACAACCATTGCTGATAGAAGAATTGAAACCGAAGAATCCCCCCCCCCCAAAAAAAAACCCCCCACACAAAAGTGTCCACCTGTTTTCTCATTGCATTATGCTCTGGTGCAAAAATTCTTCCAGTCAAACTCTACTTCCAAGGATGCTCTGTGTGTGTGAAATATGTGTGTCTCATCTTTGCATAGGGTGTGATGGGGACATTTCAGTCTTTCCCCGGTACAGAGATGCAGCAACATGGCACTGGAAGCGAATTTAAAGAAGAGCCTTGCTTCTAGGCCTTCAGTCACACTTAGGGGTCCATCTGAAACTGGATTCCAAGCAGCAACTGGTTTTCAGAGGCATATACTGCCTCAGCGCATTTAGTTGTCATGGCTAAGAGCTGTTAATAGACCTGCGAGGCTGCTGCTCCATCTCTGCATGAGTACATCTACTTTGGGCTTGCTGCCTTCCAATGCAGAGTGACTAGTGCACAGCAGAGCCGGTTCAAAATAGGAATTTTCTTCAAGGGCAAGAGCGAAGAGTTCCTTGAATTCAGAGGAGAAAATAAAGCATGCCTCAACCACCTGGGGTTTGGGAAACATTGTGCTGATGCAGTATGGTGCCTTGTAGGGCTGTGTTCTGCTCTTTATATTTCCGGAGCTGTCCGTAATTGGTCAGAAAAGTTGGCTTGGGAGAGCACTGCTGGATCAGAGTAAAGGTCCGTCTGCTTATTTTAGTTCAGCATTCTGTTTCCTTACACTGGCTAACCAGATGAGGTAGGAACATGAGCTGGGTGTAAAGGCGGCCCTTATTGTTTGTGCCCAGCATATGGTATTCAGAGATGAATTGACTTTGGACATGAAGGTTCCAAGTTAGCTATAATAGCTAATAGGTGTTAAGAGAGTGCATTTATGTAATCATTTTAAAAGGCCATTTAGGCTAAATGCCATGTGGCAGTAAATTCCATTATATATGCATTATGGTTGAAGTTTGTCCAGTCTTCTGCACGAACACATTTTATATCCAACCCAGCCTAAATCTATTTTTACACAGGGTTAGGCTGCGTGTATTGGTTAAACTGTGGCAAAGTATGGCAAACAGGGAAGGAAGTAGGGTTAACTTGCCTTTAAAAGTGGATATATTTTATGGATGGCTGTGCTGACATTCCCATTTACTGTGTGTTTCCAGTGCTGGGCATTTAATGCATATGTATCCTGAAATTTGGTGTAAAATGCTACTGTTTGATGTATTGTTTCTTAAAACAGCTTCACACTGATTGGATCCTTAAACCTTTCTTAATTGCTAATTCATTTCTAACCAAAGTGTAAACACCTTTGCATGGGGTAAAGACATCCCCACCCTGTCAACATACCTTGGTGTGTACACAAACAAACATATCTGATGAATTGAAGATGTGGTGATAGAAACAGCTGGTAAGGGGAGTACTGTGAAACATGCTGGGCTGCTAGTGGTGAAATGTGAATACACCAATTTATTTCTGAACAAATCACCAAATATGTTCATGTATGAAGACTTTGTGGTTTTTCTTCCCCACCCCTAAATGCAATAGTATCTAAAAGACCTGACCATCTTCTGATCTTCTAATACTTCTAATATTTTGTAACACTAAAATATATTGAATTTTGTTTACAGCTGCAAAAATTGCAAAAAGAAAAGGCAAACTTACAAAATCAGTTGACTGACTTTGAAGACCGTATTGCTGCAATGACATCACATTTGAAGAACGTCAGGCAGGAGTTTAATTTGACACAGGTAGATGCTTAAGAGTGCTTCTTTGGTGAAATACATGTGTAATGTAGTCCTGTGCATGTTTATTTTGAAGTAAATCCCACTGTGTTCAGTGAGGCATATTCCCAACTAAATTGGCACTGGATTTCAATTTTATCTAAATATACTAATCTTTCTTCCCTTCAAGGTAGTAAACATAAGATTCCATGTGATCTCCCATCCAGACACTAACCAGAAATGTTGCTGTATTACAGCCTTTCAGGCCTGCCATCCCATGCACACTTATTAAGCATAAATAAACTTAATGGAATTTACTTCTAAGGAAATATGCTTAGGATTGTTATGCAGAGCTGTAATCTTGTGTGCAATTACCGTATTTTTCGTCCCATAGGACGCTCCGTCCCATAGGACGCACCTAGTTTTTTGGGGGGGAAATAAAGGAAAAAAAATTTCCCTTTATTTCCCCCCCCCAAAGCAGGTCGGGGAAACCGAACAAGGTCGAGGAACAGCGGGATGGCAGCGCTGCGCCTCCATGCTGTCCCCCGAGCTTGTGGGGCTGGCTGATGTCTGCCCGGCGCGAGGGGCGCTCTGCTTCAGGGCGCCCCACCCGCCGGGCAGCCGGCTGCTATCCGCAGGGTGGGGAGCCCTGCAGGGAACTCCTGCTGGGCTCCCCACGCTACGGATGTCTGCCCGGCGCGCGGGGCGCTCTGCTTCAGGGCGCCCCGCCCACCGGGCAGCAGGCTGCTATCCGCAGGGTGGGGAGCCCTGCGGGTAACTCCTGCTGGGCTCCCCACGCTGCGGATGTCTGCCCGGCGCGCAGGGCGCTCTGCTTCAGGGCGCCCCGCCCACCGGGCAGCAGGCTGCTATCCGCAGGGTGGGGAGCCCTGCGGGAACTCCTGCAGGGCTCCCACGCTGCGGATGTCTGCCCGGGGCGCGGGGCGCTCGGCTTCGGGGCCCCCCCCCCGCCGGGCGGCAGACTGCTACCCGCAGCGTGGGGAGCCCCGCGGGGACCGCCTGCCGGGCTCCCCACGCTGCGGATGTCTGCCCGGCGCGCGGGGCGCTCTGCTTCAGGGACCTCCCACAGGGCTGCCTAGGCTGCGGATGTGTTCCCGAAGCGGCGGGCGCTCTGCTTTCAGGGCGTCCGATGCTCCGGGTAGCAGGACCTCCCGCAGGGCTGCCTAGGCTGCGGATGTGTTCCCGAAGCGCCGGGAGCTCTGCTTTTAGTGCGCCTGGTGCTCCGGGAAGCAGGCTGCTATCCGCAGCCTAGACAGCCCTGCGGGAACTCCCGCAGGACTGCCTAGGCTGCGGATGTCTTCCTGAAGCCTGGAGAGCGAGAGGGTTTGGTGCGCACCGACCCCTCTCGCTCTCCAAGCTTCAGCGAAAGCCTGCATTCGCCCCATAGGACGCACCCAGATTTCCCCTTCATTTTTGGAGGGGAAAAAGGGCGTCCTATAGGGCAAAAAATACGGTATTTGCAAATAAGACACATTTAACTCTGTAGGGTTCACTTCTGCGTAAACATGCATAAGATCAGGGTACATGAAACAGAAAAGGGGTGTTGATCATTGTTACTTATGTTCATTGTTTATCATTGTTGCTTATTGTTGTTGATTATTTCCAAACATAATTTTTAAATGAGTTGTATTCCTCTTTTGTCAGTAGGCAATGCATGGCGGGTTCATAATATTTACAAAAGAAATGTTATAAGTAAAATGATATCATTGATAGTGTGGGCACTTAAAGATTTAATGGATTTTTATAAGTCAAAGGGATTCTAGCAAAAATGAGAGATCTTATAACTGGTTATATTTAATATGCTGGTTCTAGATAAGATTACGGAACTTCTTTGTAAGAGATAGAACATTTTATCTGGAAAAATAAATGATTATTAATCATGACAGTTAATAATTTCTGTCAGTTAATTCATATAGCAGCTCTTGATATTAAGATGTTTGCTGCAGTTACTTTTTTTGAATGAAATAGACTCCAAATTTGTAGAGAAACCCACGTGAATATAATTAACGCTACATTTGTTCTGCTCTGGACTACAGAAAAATAAAATAATGGATTCAAAATCTCATTTGAAATGTTTGCATCACTTGGATAGCTAACCGTAGGAAACTGCTTCAAGAGAAAATGCTGGATCTTTTGTTATACAAAACTCATACCTTTCTAAGTCTCAGTACCTGTCAGAAAGGTTCTTGGATATTTACTTAAGTGGAACTCCTTAGTTGTATGTTTTATAAATTTCCATCCATTTTTAACTTCAATTTCTTCTAAAAAGGAAACAAACACAAAAGGTGCCTTTAAATCATCACTGCTTGTTAACCCTGAAAAATAATTAATTGCCTTTCTCTTTAGTCTCTTTTCAGAGCCAGGCAGAATGAAATTGAAACTGAGCAGCATTTTAAATCCCTCGCAGAGAGAGAAGTGGGGCGACTGAAAAGCGAGATTCAAAGACTGGAGAATGAAATGGTTTCATTACGAGAGAAGAAAAATAGTCAAGAAGTATGTTTCAAGTATTTCATCACATATCTGAAAAATATATTCCTAAAGTTGGAAGCTTTCTCTGCTGCTATTCTTGCGCTGAGCTTCTCAGCTGCATCAAACAAAGGACTTCACACAGCAACAGTTTTGATATTCATACTGTTTTATTGCAGCATTCCCTCCTAAAGTATTTTAATGATCCAAGTATTTAAGGTTTTTAATGCAAGATTAGGGTACAATGTGGAAATGGTTATCTGAACTACTGTCTTGGTTTACTTTACTTGGTCACTTTAACATGGTTGATTTGAAACTTAAAAAGCTGTCAGACATTTAGTTCATCTAGCTCAGTTCTGTTTACAGTGACTGGCAGGAAATGTTTGTTGTTTTAGCCAAGTGAGGATTCCCAGGTAAGATCCTCCCTCTATTGTGTGGGCAGATAATCCCTCCTCTACCTGGCCTGGTCTCCTTGGCAACGCTTCCCCCAGGTGGGATTGGACAACTGACTGAGGTAGGCGGAGACCTCCAGGTATCCCACCTGAGGGAAGGCAAAGCCAAGCCTATGCTGTTGGAGCCGCTCCAGATCTAGGGGCTGCGCGCGTCCACGCAAAGGGCGCTCCCCGTTTTAAGCGGGGAGCGGTCATTGTTTTCTCCCCAAATTTTTTTATTGGTTTTCACAATATTATAAACAAACAAACACACACACACACACACACACACACACACACACACACACAAGACAAACAAACATAGCAAACATAAATCATAGCCTTATTGAAAATTACAGTTATTAACTTTGTTAAGTGACTTCCTCGCTTCCCCTTGGTTGAATTTCATTGCATATCCTTTTAACGGTTTTCCAAATCCCAATTTTTATGAAATTTAACTTAAATATTAACATCCTTAAATCTTCACCTTATAGAATTAAACATATTAATTCATCACTTAACATAAATAAAATCCTAAGCCCATTAAGTATCTGCAAGCTATTTCCGGTTAGTTTAACTTAACAAATTTAACTAAATAATCATTAAATTTATTCTATTCTTCCTGATATTCCTCCTCCTTCTGGTCGCGGACTCTTCCGGTTAGGTCGGCTAGCTCCGAAAAATCCATCATCTTCATCTGCCATTCTTCTATTGTTGGTAATTCTTGGGTTTTCCACTTTTTAGCTAACAAAATACGAGCAGTAGTTGTGGCATACAAAAATAATTTAACATCTTTGACTGGCAGGAAATGTTTGGGATTGAATCTGGGACCTTGGGCATGCAAAACATGTTCTCTATTGCTTATCTACAGCCTGTCCCTGCTTATCACTCGATTTTCCAGGAACTGTTTACTTGGAGCAAAACTGTACTTAATAAGAAGCAGTCTCTTATTGAGGTACTCATATTGGGCTATTGTAGAATCGCCTTGGGATGTTTTATGAGGTGTAACTCATAAATGAAGTAAGTAAATATTGTTACAGGCCACCCTAATCTTTGCTGAGCAGTAGCAAGAGATTCTGGGTTCTTCATACTTAACCAGGGTTTTTGATTCCTTGGAAAAATGAGGCACAGCAGAGTTTGTGCGTCTTAGAAATATGGTTTATTCACACATATTCACACCTGAAGCCTTCAATGGAGGGGGAGTTCACAGTATTAACATTCCAAGAGGGGCTTGTCCTTCCCAGCAGCACAAGCAATGAATTCAGAGGCTTAGCTACATAACTTGTTCATCCGAACTGAGCCAAAGCTGGGTAACTGGAGGCCAGTGTAAATTCCTCAGAAGGGGCAGTTTAGAGGCATGGCAGAAGTGGGACCAGAGAGGGAGGACTTCATCTGCATCCTAAACCCATTCATCTTGGTCACGTGCCTTGGCAACCCAGCACAGAACACTATTTTAAAGGCTTGTTTTCCCTCTGCAAAGCAGCAACAGCCCTGCTGCCAGATGAGCTTTAGATCTGGTGTAACTTTATGCTGCATTATTTTCCCAGGCTTGCTTTATGTGAGTTTCTTGTGCATAGGATTGCTCCCTCAATAACAGTTGGTGTTTGGCATGGATTTGTAGTAACAGATGGTTTTATGCATATTATTGGTATGCTGTACTGATGTTTTCTCATATGGCATGAGAATCCACTGTGTACAATTCCACTGAACTTGCAGAAGAAGTAAGAAGTGTCAAAAGAAGTCTTTGGATCCCAGCAATGATAATGATCATTTTTATCTCCTCCAAAAGGGTCAAACTAGAGTGACATGTCAGCTGTGCTAGGTGTGTCTCTGCTTTTATGCAAGTTCCCCTAGCCAGCTCCAGTGCCGGAAACTAGTTGGGTAGAGAGAGAAAATGTTTAAAGCAATGTAGAAGTAAGGTTGGAAAAGGGGATTGCTTTTTGTCCCCTTCTCCACTCACCTCTTTTGCTGTAAAGTAGTAGATCCACTTCCAGTTCTGGTTTTTATATGAATAGGGTAGGTACATGCTTAAAACACATGTGACTGTCCCGTCATGTCTGGTACAAATACACATATATAGGAAAGATTTGGAAGCAGCTAGTCTGTCCCCTTACCTTTCTTGGAAGCAGTCATGTGAATTAAAGTCCTTTCAATGTGATGAGTTAGTCATGGCCCTCTGTTATAAATACAACCTGTTTTTATTTATTCGGGCCCATCACTCCCATCTACTGTAACTCAGTGTCTTCGGACTAGTCTTCAGAGTAGGATTTCAGATTACTGGAGGGGCGAAAGGTAGAGAACCAAGAGATACACAAAACAAATTCTGACAGTATTTAAACTCAATATTTTCCACTAGTAAGCAGCCTCAAGGTAGCCAGAGCATAGCTGTTTGTTGGGCTAATAAAAATATGATATTGTATGGTTTTTTTATTACATCTCCCCCCCTTTTTTCATTCCTACTATATTAGAACAATATTTTCAAAGTGACTCAGAAGCTGGAAGCCTTAAGATGCCAAATGAACTGGGACCAACAAGCTTTGGAGGCTTGGTTAGAAGAATCTGCACGCAAAGACAATGATGCAGTTGCAATCCAGAAGTATGCACAGCAAGATGATGGCAAATTGCAAGTATGTATATATTTTATTTAAAGTTCGTGTGTAACACCCCCAGCCCCGCAAGTCCATATTACTTGCAGCATCTGATTGGATAGGAAAGAGGTGTAGTGCCGTACTAAGACATGAGATGCGAAACATGGATGTTTGCAACTATTATTTCTTTATTAACGGCATTTTACAACAAAATAAGACAATATCTAATGTGAAAATCTGGAGTGGATTATGAGGGGCGGGTGCAGAATGGAGGAGAAGAGGTTTGGTTGTGCAAAGTGGTATTCTGTTGCATGAGCAAAACAGCCACATTGGATACTTCCGATGGAGTTATAAGTAGATGGTCCAGATAATCTTTGAGTCCTTCCTAGCCTTAGGATTTTATGACCTGAGGTTTTCTTAAAACATGGCAGTGGTAATGCTTTATTAACTTCTAACTATTTTATAATTAGAGTTCAGTATTTTTAAAAGTACGTTTCATTATCTTTTCAGATGTTAACTCTACAGATCGAAATGCTGACTGTACAATGTAATAACAGACGCAGAATTCTTGACAATGAGCTTACAGAAACCTTGGCTGCTCAGGTTTGTCCACTGGAGAATGGGTTTTGCAGTAATACTTCAGGTGCTTCTTATACCTGGTATACATTGTTATTAGTTTCCACTTGTCTTTACAGATAGAGCTGGATAAAACAGCTGAAGATTTCCGCAGGGTTCATCATGAAAGACAAGAACTTATCAGGCAATGGGAGAGCACCATAGAACAAATGCAGAAAAGAGATCAAGAAATAGATAAGTGTGCCTTGGTAAACTATTTTCTGGTGTTTTGACCTCTTAAGATATGTAATTTCATCTGGGCTTCCATTTCCCAAAGAGCTGAATGTCATATGGGTTTTCTCATATTGGTCTGAATATAAGCCACCCCAAAATATAGACCGCACTCGTAAAATGAGTTCTCTTTGGAAAGAAAAAAATGTCATGAATCTCTAGCACAATTTTAAAAACACATGCAACCTCTAGACTCATCTCACACAGAATAATATTGGGCAACCAGTGCCACCTATTGAGAAGGGCAGATGATCTTTTTACAAAAATTATTAAAGCTCTCTGTGGTTCCTGAGGCCTCATCTTAAATCACACCTTCTCTACCTATAAGTGCACAACTAAAGACTGTACTCAGGTTTTATACAAGCCAGATTTTGGGGGAAATGTGGACTATATTCGTACCAATACAGTATATAATTGGGTTTTCCCACCAGTAACTGTTAAAGCAAGAAAACAGAACAAACAATCCCCTGAAGAACAAATTTAACTAACATTTTTCTTTTGTGATTCTTGGTTTGTTGACCCAGTAGCATGGTTACAACTGATTTGTATATTTTTCTGTGCCTAGCTTTTAGCACAGGCAAGGCGGGCAATCCGTGCAAAGGAAAGTTTGCTTAAAGACAAGGTTCAGTTTTTGGCAAATGAGAGCGGTAATAACATGGAGTACGAGAAGAGAATCGCCGTGGCTGATCGGCTAGCTACCAAACTGAGGCTAGATTACCAAAAAGAGGAGGCCAATCGAAATCAGTTCCAGGATGAGGTAATTTTAACATCATATATAGTATGGAGACTTTAATATTTTGCAGTTTGGAATGTCACTTTGGAACAAAATGTCTGCCCATGCTGTCATAGCAGAAATAAGCTGTAAACTTGAGAAAGTTAAAGCGCAGCAAAATGAAGACACCTTTCTAGAACTGATAGTCCCATTATGTCTGAAGTTTACTAACAGATTCATCAGAAGATGTTATAATCAAAACTTGTTATGGTCAGTGCATGTAAGGGATATTTATACATATGTGGCATTTGTCCAGGGGTTCAGACTTTGGGCATTGGCATTTGAATTGGGAAAGCTGTAAAAATGCCCATGATGCTTTGTCAACTTATCTTTTGTCAACTGAAGTAATAGATTTACTCTCTCGTTTCACCTTTCAATTTAATTTTATAAAATCCCACATGGCTATAAAATCTAGCCCCAAATTTTAGAATTTATCATTTTTACTATTACTGTTATTAACTTCTAGAAGTCCCAATTCTGTAAAAGTTTTATCTTTCCCGCCAGTACTTCAGTCTTGTGCTGAACGTCATCAATATTTTCCATTTTCAATATGGGAAACTGTGGCTTGGCAACCACGTGAGTTTGTTGCTCAGCACCTATTTAAACTTGAGTCACCCAGATCCTAAGTTCAACATTCGTGGCCTAGTGAAGTGAATTCTGTGGACTCGGTTCACTGGAGTGGACTTTGTAGTTTATTCCAGCCAAACTGCACTTCACAATCAAGTAGCATAAACTGAGGAAAAAACCAATACTGTACACTCTTTAATTTCAGTAAGGTTTTTGATAGGAAGTTCACAGAGAAATATACATAAAATTTAAAGTAAAAAGGTATGAAAACAAGGGGTGCGCACCTAAAATTGGGAATGTTTGCATGACGGAAATGCAGGTTTTCTTTATCAGAGTAATATTTGTAATAGTTAGGTAAAGGGGAGCCCTGACCATTAGGTCCAGTCATGACCGACTCTGGGGTTGCGGCACTCATCTTGCTTTATTGGCCGAGGGAGCCGGCGTACAGCTGGTCATGTGGCCAGCATGACTAAGCCGCTTCTGGTGAACCAGAGCAGCACACAGAAACGCCGTTTACCTTCCTGCCGGAGCGGTACCTATTTATCTACTTGCACTTTGACGTGCTTTCGAACTGCTAGGTTGGCAGGAGCAGGGACCGAGCAACGGGAGCTCACCCCGTTGCAGGGATTTGAACCGCTGACCTTCTGATCGGCAAGTCCTAGGCTCTGTGGTTTAACCCACAGCACCACCCGCGTCCCTTGTAATAGTTCGCTGTTAGTAATAAAAAAATAAAATCTGTGTTAAAAATACAAAATCTGTGTTACAGTACAAATGTGGGAAGTTGGTGGGCTGCCTGACAGCTATGATTTCAAAATGACCACAGTACTCTGAATAAACACTTATGTTTTCAATATTCATGAAACCTAACCATTAGCTGGATACCTTGAAAGCTACTGTGGATGGAACTGCTTCAGAGTTAGAAGCGATGAGGATCAATGTAGCTAACCTTAAAAAGGAAATCCAAGAAAAAACTTTAAGGTAGGCATTATAAATGGTGAGATGACTACTATAGTTATTTTTAAAATATTTTTGTAACACGTACTAGAAGAATAGATACTTTAGACAATGATGAAAAGTGCCATGGCATGGGCAGATTCACAAATATGACTATTTAACATTTGCTGAACCATTTTTTGTTAGCTAGGGATTTTTTTTAAGACTTAGGGAAACTTCGGGACTTGGAGCATAATTTAGGGCAAGGTGCCTTATTACCTGGATGCTAAACATTGTCTACCCCACCTCCCCAGCTAGAATTTATTATCTTGTCTTCTCTTTTCCATACCAATCTGTAGATTCTCTCAGAATGGTACAGTATTCCATCCATTCTCTTCTACATTCTGGAAAAGTATGAGAGTTGACCAGGAAATTCCCAATTCCATTTTTGATAAAGCTTTAAAGGTGTTTCCTGATTTCATATCTTAATATGTGATAAGCTATTAAGTGTAATGAAACTATCTGATTTATTTTGTCTTTAAACTATACCAAAACAATGGCTGAAATTTGGGCTTCTTACTAAGTAAGTTCTTAGCGGTCCTAAATAGCAAATTACATTTCTTAGAGTTACATGTATTTTATATTAATTTGAGGGTTAGGGATATTAGCTCTAGTTTTCTCTTTTGAAAATTATATGTAACTTTCCTTCTCACCCCATAAATCTGTGCTAAGGCTAAATGTGATAAAGGACCAGAATGACAGTCTTGCGAGTAAACTGAAATATGTGACAAACCAAGCACTGACTTTAGAAGAAAAAGCAGCCAGAATGGAAGAGCTCCTGAAAGAGAAAGAGAAAAGTGTCAAGGTAAAAGCAAATATATATAAAAAGCATACTTTCTTTCACTGTTACCAGCAGTTTGTCAAAGTGCCATTGGACATGGATACCTCTGACAATTTGGTTTCAGTTTTTATATGTTACTTTACAGAAATATTTGTTGTCCATGTGAGCTCTATCTGATTAATACATTTCCGCAATACTTTGAACTTCCATTAAGAACCAAGATAAACGTATAAGAAATTTTGAGATGAAAACCTGTAAGATCAGGTGTATGCCAGACAAATGTGTTTTGACTGAATTGGGAATGAGATTCACAGAGGAAAGAGAATCAACAGTTCTAAGGTGAAGGAACTCAAATGTTATAACAAGCACCACAAAAGCAAAAATCCTTGAATCACCCAATGAATCACAGAGGATGTAAGAAAAGTCTGGTCATTATTTCCACATGGGATTTTTTTTTATAAGTAATTTAAGGAAAACCTATAATAATGATCCTTACAGGAACTGTTCATACGAAGAAGCATGAAAGGTAAAAATGAATGGTATTTTAATCACTATTCAGTTGTGCAAAGCTTTAATATTCTGGATGACATTATTTCTGGTCTAAGAGGTTCACAATCAATGCCTGTTATAAAATCATACAATTATAGAGTTGGAAGGGACCACAAAGGTCATCCAATCCAATCCGCTGCAATGCAGGAATCTTTAGTCCAATGTGGGGCTCAAACTCAACGACCCTGAGATTAAGAGTCTCGTGCTACTGACTGAGCTGTCCCAGAATCTTCATAAGGAACTTGAGTATCAACAATCTGTATAGACACAAGAGGTAGATTAGTGCCCTTGCTAGCACTGACAAAATATTTTATTGAAATTACTTAAGATGAGAACACAGCTCAGTTGTCTCCACTCCGTATTGTTTTTGGGGGACAGGGGCGGGCTGGTGTGGAGGACTCCCTGGTCCTGAATAGGGTAACTGTGCCCCTGAAGGACCAGGTGCGCAGCCTGGGAGTCATTTTGGACTCACAGCTGTCCATGGAGGCGCAGGTCAATTCTGTATCCAGGGCAGCTGTCTACCAACTCCACCTGGTATGCAGGCTGAGACCCTACCTGCCTGCGGACTGTCTCGCCAGAGTGGTGCATGCTCTAGTTATCTCCCGCTTGGACTACTGCAATGCGCTCTATGTGGGGCTACCTTTGAAGGCGACTCGGAAACAACAACTAATCCAGAATGCGGCAGCTAGACTGGTGACTGGGGGTGGCCGCCGAGACCACATAACACCGGTCTTGAAAGACCTACATTGGCTCCCAGTACGTTTCCGAGCACAATTCAAAGTGCTGGTGTTGACCTTTAAAGCCCTAAACGGCCTCGGCCCAGTATACCTGAAGGAGCGTCTCCACCCCCATCGTTCTGCCCGGACGCTGAGGTCCAGCGCCGAGGGCCTTCTGGCGGTTCCCTCATTGCGAGAAGCAAAGCTACAGGGAACCAGGCAGAGGGCCTTCTCGGTAGTGGTGCCCGCCCTGTGGAACGCCCTCCCATCAGATGTCAAAGCGATAAATAACTACCTGACATTTAGAAGACATCTTAAGGCAGCCCTGTTCAGGGAAGTTTTTAATCTGTGATATTTTACTGTATTTTTGGTTTCTATGGAAGCCGCCCAGAGTGGCTGGGGAAACCCAGTCAGATGGGCAGGGTACAAATAATAAATTATTATTATTATTATTAAGCTTAGCAGACAGTCTTCCAAAATGGCTATTTTTGCATAATGGTACTGATCTTGTAGTATTGGTGAGACAACATGAACTGGTTTGTGACACTGGACTGTGCTCTATTCTAAATGCTAATTTTTTGGCATATGATACTATAACACTAGACCTCAAGTGACTTCATAATTCAACAAGAAGCACTTTAAATTCTTCTTTGAACTTAAGTATAGAATTTTCTAAATGTGGATTAATAGTAGTTGAATTAAAATAACAATAAGGCAGAGAACCTGAAAGCACTGAAATGAAACAACCTGACTGCAGACTGCAAGAGATTATCCGTAATATTCTTAGGAGGGCAGCTAAACCATGTGCAGCGCTTTTTTCCTTACACAGGAAGTGGATAACCCGAGAGCATAGCAGTTCCACAGCTGAGGGGTGATAGTTTAACTAGGATGAACAATGTCTGTAATGTGTTAGTCATAAGTACGCTTTCCATCAAAATTAGCCATGCATGTCTATTTGCCACATCTATTAATTCATGGTGAAAAGATATGGGCAGGGAATAATGCACTCAAAATTGCTTTCTTTCCATTTGAGCTCCTGTTCCTCAGTGGCTGCCCCCAGTCTCCCTTGTAGGAAAGCAGTGTTGCTGGGGCTGAATCTTATTTAACTCACTGTATGTTTTAGGATCGCTATGTGTTATTAAAATATCTGAATTAAGATCTTAATCATTTAGAAAGAATGAGATCTCATTTCAGTCAAAGTGAATTATATTTTTGTGTTCAGTTATGGTAATTGCTAACGGTGTTTGTTAGATCAGTGGATGAATAAGTTAAAACTTATTTTCTTAGGGACATAGTGGTCTGCCCTTTAGGTAGATGAGAGAGATAGAATTGTCTGAGTGGTTGTCTTTCAGGTGACACTTTGCAACAAGTTATAGTGGGAGTGAGAGTGGGAATGGTCTATCTCTAGAAAGAAGAGGGAGAGGCAAGATGGAGGTGTCAGGTAAGGGGTGGCCTGGGTGCCAGAGCAGAATGGGTGCATATCCCAAAGAGGGACAGACCCATCCAAGGTAACTAATCTTAACTCTGGTTAAACTTAAAAGTGCATCCTTGTGTAGTCATTTACATTCTTAGGGTGCTTTCTGGTTATCACTGTTTCGCTGGTAGGATTCAGAATGAATGCTTAATAAATAGCGAGTGTCATATAACCTCCATGCAAACACTCTACAAACAAATTGGTCACCTGGAAGCAACCTTGGAATTGGAAACATTGATAAAGCAACAGATAGCACAGCATTCACATTTTGAACGTTTTTAACACCATTAGGAGAGAGAGGCACTGGAACAACATCTGCGAGACAAACAGTTCAAAAGAATTAAGGAGCTGCAGAAACTTAAAGACAAGGAGAAGTGTTGCTCAGCTGAAATAGATGGACGCAAAGGACAGCTGAAAAACCTACACAGTCGCTTATGCCGGGTGGATGCTGAGACACTCAAACAACAAGAACTCATGTATAAGCAGGCAAGGGATAACAAGTTTCTTTGTGTGTGTGTGTGTGTGTGTGAGCAAAGGGACATCTGCTGCAAGAGAGGGTTTTTAAAAAGAACGAGAAAGCAGAGGTAGACATTTAAGAATTGGGAGAAGACCATGGGCTGTGCACTCCTAATTCTTAAACATTCACTTTTGACAGGTGTCCCCTTCCTGACAAATTTCTCCTTTCTTAGCACAGTCTCCTAGACTTTGTGATTTGAAATCCAGCTGTGCTGTTGATGATGGCAGAAGCCCAAAATGGTCAAGAAATCATTTTAAGCCTTTCACTGACATACATATAATTGCGTGTATATTTTCATTGTGTAGTTCTGACAAAATCTAAATCAGAAGTGTTTGCAAAACACAGTATTAAGTAAGAGAATATTTATTTGAGTTCAGAGTTAATAAAGTTATTGTTTTACCCTTCAGTTTTAAAATATATTTATCTGATAGTAAGTGTCATTGATATTAGAGGAAGCTATTTCTAAAAAGGAAAAAAAATCCATTTACTTGGAGACTAATTCCCTTTACTTCCAAGTAAATATGTTTGGAATGGGATTGTATGATTTCCAAATCAGCTTTTTGCTATGGCTCCTCTGAACCATGGCTGCTTCAGGGTAAATTTTTGAAGCGATACAAGAGATGAACATGCCCAAATCCTGTTATTTGTTAATGGGATTTGTATGCATAACTCCTATGCACCACTTTGAAAATTTACCCCTTTTTATCAGCATCTACTGGTAGTGGTAAGATTGCTACTCAGCTGTAAGCCTCCCTAAAGCAGACTCTCTCTGGGTTGGGGACTCTTTGTTATATTTTTAGAAGATTACTTGGGAGCCAGCATTGCACACCATCCATTTTAAGACAGTCTACAAATGAGAAGGCCTATAGGCCTGAAACAATTGTACAGGAACAATTACTTAATTAGGTGCCTGTCCTACAGCTAATTTTTTTGTGTTAATGTTTTAGCATGTATAGAAATGACTCTAATTGTTTGCTTTTCAGCCTCTCTGTTCATTTTATTTCTTGCCTAAAATATTTTTAACAGGATTTTTACATACAGCAAGTTGAGAGAAGGCTGTCACGCTTGCATGGGGAGCTTAACACAGATGAGAAGCAAGTTTTAGAAGCAAAAGTTGCTGAACTTTCGAAGATAGCAGAAGAAAAGAAACAAGCATACAATACTCTACAAGCACAGCAGAAGAAACTCCAGGTAGTATGGCTTTTCATCTCATGGGATTGCACCTACAGCGATGATTAATTTATAGCCCACATAATGGTCTAATGTAACTGATTGTTTGGAACTAAGCACATTTGTCCTCAGCCAATATCAGGGCAGAGGTGTGGTTGGGAATGCCAGTTCTATAGGGGGAGATCTAATATAGTATGAGCAGGCATCCTTGCACACTTCTCTTTCCTCTTTTCTAGAGGATCAGGAACCATTTGAAGCAGATTTTGGGGGTGCTTCGGGAATGCTGGAGTGGGGAAAAGAGAAACTAGACATCTTGTGGTAGTAGGTTTCTGTTATGCAAGCAGATGGACATCAGTAGATGTCACCCATGTTTCTGGGCTTCTTGGAAGAAGGAAGGGGTTTAAATGTAACCTCAGATGCCTGAGACCTAAATACATTTTGCTCAGGTAAGGATCTGGGATGTGGCAAGGGTCTACTGATAACAAAACAGTATTTATGACCAAACTAAAAGCAACTCTTTTTTTCTTTCTTTCAGAATGACATCCATTTTATCAAGTTGGCTATGACTAAGACTGGAGAAGAAATGGCTGGCTTGACAACCAGAGTAGATGAGCTAAATCTTTTCACTGAAAAATCAGAGAAGCTACTAAAAAAAGCCAGAGCAGATAAACAGGTATAAATAAAAATAATTATTATAATGCTGACCCGCACAGATTCTTGGGTTCTTTGCACTGACAGACTGTCCATGGCCCTTGGGCATACCTAAATTGACGTGTCACAAGTTTGGAAACCAAACTATTAAAAAAAAAAAAGTTACATCTCAGGAGGCTTTGGATTTAGTGCCGAATATTCTTTTTCTTTTGCCAACTGAAGGATATGTTGATTGAAGATAACCTCCTGAAACTGGAGCTGAAACGTGTAAGAGATACCCTGTACAACAAGGCAGAGCAAGTTCTTTCCCTTGAAAAACGGAAGCAGCAACTTCAAACAGCAATGGAAGAAAGAACTGCGGATATCAAAGTTCATAAGGCAATGATTGAGACACAGATAAGGATAATAGAGCAGGAGCGTCAGACTTTGAGGTATTTGCCCTATGTGCTGCATGGAGGTGGGAATGGATTTCTCTTTTCAAGGAAACATATGATACTGAAGGAATCACTTTGGAAGACCAACTTTATACTTGCTGCCTTTCTCAGCCTTGGTAGTTAGCTAATTACTGATGTACCTGTGTGATTGGTTGTCAGGAATTGCTATTACTTTGCTGCTTCTAAATTTCCTTGTACAAGAACTCTAGACGGAAGCAAACACACTCAATACTTATTCTCAGGCAGGGTTCTGTTACCAGGAGCCTGCTTTTATGCCTGCTTGCTTCCTTGTTTATCACATTTGTACCCTATCTTTCTATAAAAATGTAAATCAGCAAAGGGCCCAATAAAGGCTAGCTACAGTCAGTTACAGAAACTAAGATACAAGCTGCAAGGGCCTGTTTTCTACAGCTTTAAGAAATCGGGAAGTAAGAATCTTTGTGCAGCGGGTGGTTAAAGCCAAGTGGGAAATGAACACTCAACCAGCTGATCTGGCAGCCCTTTTTTCCATTCTCCTCCTTCCATCCACAGCCCACGCAATAGGAAATTAGAGTGATTTAGTGTGACTGGAGCTTAACCCCTCGCCAAGCAGGCAGGCTCTGTGTGTTTTTCCTGTGATAATTACATGACTAATTGGCACTTGCATATAATTTGATTTGGGGTTGCTTCCTGCTGTTGCTTATTCTCTCTGAGCAGTGGCAATATTAAGATACAATCAGCAGGGGGCAGTTTCTGCAGCTGTAAGACTGAAATGCCAAACCTTTAAATATTTGGGTAAGGTTCCTTGGATGGCGGCTCCCCACGATGCAGGAATTTGCAATGTAATGTTGAATTTGTCTCCTTCTGTGTGTGGGGATTTGAGACAACTGTGAATCGGGAGGACTGGGTACCAACAGCAACTACAATAGATGGGTATACCACTAGCCTAAGTACTGTGTTGTCTGTTTTTAATAGTGACATCATCCACTCTGCTATAGGGTTCACACACAGTCTCACTAAAGGGAAGAGATCCCCCAAGGACGCATCTAGATGGGTAGCATTGGAAAGTCTTTTACCACGGCAGCACAGACTTCATCTCAATCTACAATTGTTAAATTTAACAAAAGAAAAGTAGCTTTTGTTAACGGAAAAATCCGAGGGCTCCCTTGGACAAAAAACAAAGACACTAACCAGGATAACTTGGAGCAAAACAGCAGCCTGTAGGCTTGGCCTTTATTGAGCTGTTGCAACAGGGTGCTCCCCTCACTTGCAGGAGAGAGGAAAGACACAGAAAAATGGTGTGCAAGGCCTTATAAAAACTTTTGAAATTCCCACCCTGTAGATTAAGACCACCCCCAGAAACATCATGCATACATCACAGAAAGGAGGGGTTGAGGGAGGAGTTGTGGTGGTAACCTGAGTGTCCTGTCACCTGGCTGGTTCCCCCTTTCCCCCTCCCCATGAGTACTTTCCAGGTGACAAAGGGGAGTTTCCAGTTTCCTGCCCCCAGAGGGAAGATCTGATCATTGTCCTTTGTTCCAGTCCATGCTGAATCCACTCCCATATGCAAGTTCTTTGTGATCTTGATTGTCTTCTGTCTGGGACCATCAGGGTTGGCATAGCAACTGGGCAGGGCTCCTGTGGATGTGCTGGTATGCTCAAGGGATTATGGTGGCCTGTATCAAACCTTCCCCATTTTGTAGTCCTTCCTTCATGGAGTAAAATAAAAGTGGAACAGTGCAAATCCGATGTATGGTTGCTTTTCTATGAATTTATAACAGAAGCATAGCGTATGTAGTGTGTGAGTGTGAGTGTGTGTGAAGTTTGTACAAACTGAATGATTGGGGGGGGGGTTTCCTGCAACACTTTGAAATAGGACAGTTCTCTGCCCCAAACCATCTCCTCTCAAAGCGGCTTCTCCTCACTAGATGAGCTGACTGCCAGGATTTTGTGCATACATTTGCATGTAGTTTGTAGCCCTGCTCTTACTTGGCAGTCACAGGAAAATCAAAAAGACATTTCAAAGAAAGGATCACATATGTCTGTGGAAGCTCCATGGTCCGGGTAGGAGGGACTGCCGGGAAACCCAATCTCAGTGATGCACAAAGGCTTTCCCCTCTAGCCTTCAACACTGTCCAGATGTTCTATGGACATGGATGGGCCTGTAGGTTTAATAGCCTTTTTCCTCTACTGATTGGAAAGGAGGATCTTTGTGGAATGCTCTCCTCAGGGAAATGCACCTGGCACCATCATAGTCAGGCTAAGAAAATTTTATTTACCTAGGCTTTAGGTGCTTAAGTTAGCCTCTGCTGTGCTGTTAATCTTTCAGTGGGGTATAGTAGGACTTGTTTTTCTTACAAATTTAGATTTGTATTGTATGTTTTTTTAAAATTGCTTTTAATTGCTTTTACTTGCTTGTATTTTATTTTGCTGTAAAGTTGCTTTGAGTTTTCTTTTGTATAAAGCAAGTAATAAAAGCGAAACATAATAAAATAATAATTACTTTCAAGTCAAGCCCCAGTACCCCCAACAGGTGTACCTGATTTCTTAGGAAACGTTGTCTCACTTATTTATGACCAAGAGTTAAATGATTTTCTTTCAAACCTGTTAGTCATTTTCTCCTATTCTTCTCAAATCAGTTCTGAGTTTCATGAGCGACTGGGTAAAATTGAGAAATTGAAGAGCAGATATGAAATCATTACCGTTGTCATGATGCCCCCAGAAGGAGAAGAGGAGAAAACTCACACTTATTATGTCATCAAGGTAACCTTCCAGCTCGGATGCTGCCCATGAACTTGTTGAATTATCCATACTTCATCTCCAACCTCTGCTGTTTTCATTACTGGGTATCCTGCGTCTATCCAGTGTAGGATTGGACTATGGGTTGGTTCATAACTTCCTGATCTGCCACTTCAACATAGAGATCATTGAAGTAATCTCATGAATTCGAGGGATTGTGCAATCATCCCAAGGGTAAATGAAAGAAAATATCCACAACCATCTTCAAAATCAGAAGGAATAGACAGGGGAGTGGGCCAAACAACTTTTTGTAGTATTTCTGACTACACTTGTTATTGAAGAAGGAAAATGTGGCACTTTTGACATTGGCCTAGGAAGCAGAAGTGTGTGTTGCCATTCAGTCTAATCTTTCCACTGGTGGGCAGGGCACGTTACAATTTCAGTGCCATTTAACAGTAAGGGTGTTGCTTTATAAGAGGAGTCTGTGGTCAAAACCTTGAGAGAGGTTTCATGTTACCATGTGCGTGGTGTCTCAGAAAAGGCTTGGGGGGGGGGACTAAATGTGTTTATTCATTTTCAAAAGTTATGAACCATAACAAAATCTCCATCACTCCGCCCCTCCCCTTGGATCAACCTTTTCATTGGGTCCTGATCCAAAGTTGGTAGACTGGGGTCAGATAAAATTTCTTCATTGGCCACTTCTGACCATATACCTAGAAGAGTTTGGATTTGATATCCCGAAGGAGTCTCAAAGGGGCTAACATTCTCCTTTCCCTTCCTCCCCCACAACAAACACTCTGTGAGGTGAGTGGGGCTGAGAGACTTCAAGGAAGTGTGACTAGCCTAAGGTCACCCAGCAGCTGCATGTGGAGGAGTGGAGACGCGAACCCGGTTCACCAGATTACGAGTCTGCCGCTCTTAACCACTACACCACACTGGCTCTCTCCTACACTTAGGGCTTGTTAGCAGCCCCCTCCCCATTTAACTGAACTCTGATTTATCCAGCTGTTTTAGGCATTCTTTTGAACTGAATAGGTTGCACATTCTCTCCCCCTGCTTTTTCATAGCTTCCTCACACACTTTTCCTGCATACCTCATTCAAAACATGCTGGGTACTATTCATAGGGTTTTAGCTCCACTTTTGCCTGCCCTTCTGCAAAGTTGTTTTTAAGAAAGTATGCTGCACTTTGTTCCCATGCTGCTCTTATTATTTAGGCTTGGAATAGGTTTGAAAAATAGAAGTATCTATTAAAGGTTGAGTAACTGCAGCCTATCCCACTCCTTAGGTTCTGTGACCTATGCCCACCCTACCATTTCATGAGTCTTTTGGGGTGACAGGCAGTACAGTGGTACCTATGGATGCAAACGGGATCCATTCCGGAGCCCTGTTCGCATCCAGAGCAGAACGCAACCCGTGTCTGCGTGTGTCGCGATTTGCTGCTTCTGCGCATGATGTCATTTTGAGCATCTGCGCATGCGCAAGCGGCGAAACCCGGAAGTAACGCGTTCCGTTATTTCTGGGTCGCCGCGGAGCGCAACCTGAAAACACTCAACCTGAAGTGACTTTAACCTGATGTATGACTGTAGTTTTAGTGGAAAACCTCAGGGTTGCTGGGTGGCCCTGTTAAACATTTTCACAGGTGATTCACAGAACCTTCCTGCTGTTGAATTGCCATGTATCAAATATTCAGCACATTTGCTGTTGATTCACGCAAGCCTAGAAATCTTTGCATATGTCCAGATTTTCACCCAGGATTGAAAGCAAGCAGTGTTGTGAGGTGTTATTAGACAATATGCACTTGTGCTTAACTACTTACCCCTTTCTGATAGAGGATTCACAAACCCTCCAAGTCTCCCTATTTTCCAGGGACAGTCCTGGATTTACAGAAGCTGTTCCAGTTTCTGATTTGATCCCAGAATGTACCAATTTTTCTTACGATGTCCCTATTTTCATCAGAGAAATGTTGGAGGGTATGGAGTTATGTGACCCCCCGAGCCAAGGAGATAAGTAACTATACAACCTTAAGAAGACATCTGAAGGCAGCCCTGTATAGGTTTTTAAAAAAATGTTTAATGTTTTATTATGTTTTTATATATGTTGGAAGTTGCGCAGAGTGGCTGGGGCAATCCAGTCAGATGGGTGGGGTATGAATAATAATAAAATTGTTGTTGTTGAATAGGACGTCCCTCTTTTCATTGGAAAATGATGGAGGGTATGGATTCTTTAATAAATACCCAAGTGTGATACTGCAGTGTAAGGCAGATGGGGACTGGGTATTAATCTTGAAATTCTGAAATCTGTCAATAGTGATTTTTCTTCTTTCAAGGCTGCCCAGGAAAAGGAAGATCTTCAGCGTGAAGGAGACGATTTGGATGCAAAGATCCAGCTAGCTGAGAAAGAATGTATTGCCCTAGAGAATACTATGCATGTGCTTAATAACTGCAACAGCAACTATCGAGACACATTCAAGGCAGTCACAGAGAAAAGTAAGTAAGTAGGGTAAAAGGCTAAAGTCCAAGAGCAAAGGGAGATCAGGAAAGGACTCTACTTACTAACTGCTCTGCCACAAACACTGCAATGTAATTTGCTTTTTTAGTCCTTCTAGGCTCAGAACATGCAATCTTTTCTATGTGATGCAGTGAAGTTATGGATGAAGAAGATCCGAGTTCAAATCTTTGCACAACCATGAGCCTCACTGCATCACCTGGGGCTGGAAATGCTTGAGCCACCTAAAAAGATTGGGACTTGAAATGCAGGTTGCATTAAACAACATAGTTCCTTCCAGTGATTTCAGATGTACCTTTTTCTCAGAAGCAATCGTTTCCTAAGTATAAAAGGCAGGTTTAATTACAACACAAGTAGGCTATGCTACTTACACTGAAAGTGTAGCAGACTATAATACCACAATACAAACTAGTTTGGAAAACAAACTAAATTGGAACTTTAAAATCTCCCCCTTTTATTTGTGCCTGAATATTAAAACAGTGTTTTGATGACAGAGAAAGCATTTGCAGTTAACTTTTGCTCCCTCTGCTGGCTCTATTACTTTATTATTATGCCATCTTCATTAATAAGTTGTGAGGATTTTTGAAAAACTGCCATGTTAGGCAGTTTTAAGAGAGGAACTTCTTTAGCATTTATTATATAAGGCATTAAAATGGTATTTGAGTTGACCCTAGAGCTGGTTCACACAACACAGTAAGCCAAGCTATGATTTAGCAAGACTGAACATGCAGACTCCCATGGACCCAGGAGTTCACAGATACTTTGCTCTGCAACAATCCCTTTTACCACCCTTAGACATAGTGTGTCATCTGAATTTTGATTTGCAGTTAGGGTCTCCCTGAACTAATTACAAGCTGCAATCAAGAGCAAACCTAGAAAGGGCCAGAGGGGAGCAAAGCAAGAACAAACACCTATTGGGGAACCAGCGTATTCACACTGAGTCTTAGTCTCCCCAAGTCAGTTGCACTTACTATGTTGTGCGAACCAGCTTATGACGACAATCAACACTGAACCAGGGTTAAGCAATGTCTCACATTAGGTCTGCATTAGCCCATAAACTTTTCAGTCAAGCACACTGCATAATATTGTCATTTGGATTAGTATAAGGTACTGTGAATTTGTGTAGATCTGATCACTTTTGACATCTCATTGCAGACTAAATGTTTTGAAGTGCAACAGTTTTGTTATGCTGGAAGCAATTCATGCAGCCTCCTTTGCTGGAACGCATATCCTGTCCACAGTCCAGCATTAAATGAGTGTTCTAGACCTTTTAATAATTTAAACATTTTAAAATTAGTGCATGACTTTAACATCTACTTCTGTTTCTGATCATGTTTACAGTTGATTGCGCCTGTAGCAGTGTGGACTTTTGCCACTTTTAAAAACTCTTGCTTAGTTTACTGTAGTTGGTTCCTTGTATTTATTTAATAGCTGTATTGGACTAGACTGGATGTTTTAAAAGTATTTTTTCCTGTATGTTGCCTAGAGGCAAGGCAACCAATAAATAATTGTATTTTTAATAGGTGAGGAGCACCAACAGAAGCTGAAACTGGAAAACGAGAAAAGAGCTGCGGATGAGAAATACAGATACAAGAGAAGACAGATCAAGGAAATCCAGGAAGATATACAGGTAAAGAAACTTCTGTCTTAAGCTAAGTTTTAAGCCACTCTATAATCCTTATCCAAATTCAAACTTTTCTAGCAACTTTGTTCTTTTATCTATCCACTTCCTCACACTGTGAGGTGCCACCTTTGCTTTGCAATTGGACAGGAAGAGGTGTAAAGGGAGGAATAGAATGAAGCAAATTCTGTGCAAATATCCTATGAAGAGTATTTATTCATTCCATATTTTGCAACTGTCACTGTCTTTCCTACCAGTTCTTTTGAAGTCGTGTAGATTTTAAATTGCTTTATATATTATTGCTTTATATCATATATATATATATATGCTTTATGTATTATGTTGGGAAAGATGGAGGGCACAAGGAGAAGGGGACAACCGAGGACGAGATGGTTGGACAGTGTTCTCGAAGCTACAAACACGAGTCTGACCAAACTGCGGGAGGCAGTGGAAGACAGGAGGGCCAGGCGTGCTCTGGTCCATGGCGTCAAGAAGAGTCGGACACGACTAAACGACTAAACAACAACAACATATATTATGGCAGGAGAAAATCAGGACGGTACCCACTTCCTCCAGTCCACGCGTTGGGTGTCACAAAACATAGGGACCAGGCCCTCTAGAAGTCAGTGTTGGTGATGCTATTGGTGATAAAACTGCACCTATGCATTTGATTACACAGATAGAGGCTCCTCTAAAAACATGAGAAGTAGCAATGCCATTTAAGAGTAGAAGTCGGAGGAAGGCATATTGTTCCAAACTACACAGCCCCTACTAATTGTGTTACCCTTTGTACATTTTTTGTACTTTTTTATTATGGAGTATGTCTTACCTGGTATATGACCCAGAAATTTGCAAGGGTGGAATATAAAGGAAGTAACAAGTAAATCACTAGTTCCTTGAGCTTTCTTCTAACTCTGATATCATACTGTTGTTCTCATTTTACAGATCTGAGTTACAACTCAAGAATGTGCCAATGTGTATTTTATTTTATTGTGTAGCATTTATTTATTGTTTTAAAATGGCTTCAAAACAGGTTTATGTACAAACTTGTATTTTTCCAGACCATGCAGGGTAATCTTGATACTCTTTTGAAAGAGGAGGCTCTCTGCAGAGAAAAAATACAAGAGAAAGAAGCACAAGCTTTGCAGTTAAGTAAAGACATAGATGACCAGAAGCCAAAACTAGAAAGAGCCACAAAACAGGTTAGTTTAAATGAAGATAGCATTATCATTATTAAATGAATTGTTTCAATTTCAATAAAAAAAAGAGATAAACATTGTCCATTACTGCTAAAATATTTACTATATAAAATCTGTTAACATGAAATCTAATTGTTACCATAGCAGCATCGATTAAACAATACTTGTAATACTTTTGTGTCTAAAAAGGTCGCCCGAGTAACTAGAGAGATCCGAGCATTAAAGAGGACTCAATCAGAAACACAAGAAGAACAAGATATTGAACTTCGTTCATTGAAAGAGTTCAGCAGATCAATTGATACAATGCTGCACGAAGTTGCAGAATCAAATCCAGATTTGAACACAATACTTCAGAGATACTTCGAACAGGTACTCTCTCGTGTTGATAAATCTTCTTCCAAAAAACACCACCAAAAACCTTCAGAGACTTGCAGACCTTAAAACCATACCACAAAATACGGCCATTTCAAAGTAATATCCTAATATGAACTCGATATGGTTGTTTATATCCAGTAATGGTTAATACCACAATACTTTTTTTTTAGGCGTCTCTCCAGCTTCAGATTTCTTCTCGGCTTAGCTTTCGGTCATCTCCTCACAGCTCATCCTCTTCAAATATGTAAGTGCTATTATAAAAATGTTTTAATCTTTGTTACTGTATAGTAACCACAACATTTATCCAAAGAGGATGGGGGAAATGGTCTGTATGCAAGGTAACTAATCTTTCCTGACTGACCACTTGGCAGGAGCTGGGAAGAAAACGCACCAGTGACTCACAATTTCAGTGGGGAATAAAGGGGAGAGTTGATTTGTTACTGGTACCCTGCACACAAGCTGTCACTAAATACAGCAAGTAGTACTTGATGATCTACTGGAAAAGGAGCCCCACTTAATTTTGGTCCTGACTTTTGACCAAAGAACAGTCGTTCCGTGTTTATGGAGCTTACTTTTTCGGCTAGAGCAAAATACAACCATATTCACACTAGTATGACACTTAAATCACCCTCATGGAGTACTAAGGAAAGGCGCTTTAATTATTCTGTGAACCCCCCTGAGATCTTTGGATGAAGGGCAGTATACAAATTTAATTAAATAATTAGGCCAGGCATAGGCAAACTCGGCCCTCCAGATGTTTTGGGGCTACAACTTCCATGTTCCCTAGCTAACAGGACCAGTGGTCAGGAATGATGGGAATTGTAGTCCCAAAACATCTGAAGGGCCGAGTTTGCCTACACCTGAATTAGGCCTTCAACAGCATCTAATATCTGGCACACTTTTCCCCTTGGATGGCCTTCAAAGGCAGCAGCAAAGGAAAACAGGGCAATATTCAGTGCTGGAGAAGACCCATTATTATTGAAATTTGTTAGTCACTTAATTTTTCCCAAGGCAACCCAAAGCGACTTAAAACCAAACCAACAACCCCCAAATGCATTAAAACCAAGGGGCAGGGAGCGGACATTAAAAACATCCCACCCACTTCTAAAAGGCCACAGATAAAGGCCAAAGGCCTGGTTATAAAGTTTTTACCTGGCACCTAAATATATATAATGATGACGCCACAAGAGGGGAGAGCATGTCACAAACAGGGAGCCACTGCAGAAAAGGCCTGCTCTTATGTTTCCACTCTCCAGACCTCTCATGGAGGGGGCACATGAAGAAGGAAGGACCTTGATTATGATTGCAGGGTCTGGGTCGGTTCATATGGGAAGCGGCGGTCCATGTGTGACAAGCAATTGATAGCAGTAAAAATAAGCTTATTTCAACGATCCTTTTGAATGTGGTGTAAAATGGACTTTAAGGGGCCATTCTTGGCCTAATGCTTTCGGAGTGTTGCTTCATGCATTTAAACATACTGAGCTCATTTCAATAAGCTGTTTCTTAGCATGTGCTGAGGTCATCGCCTTTTGGTGGTGGTGGGGATCTTGACTGATTGGAGCAAGGTCTCACAACAGTCACAGCAAGTACAGTGGTACCTCGGGTTACATACGCTTCAGGTTAAGAACTTTGCTTCAGGATGAGAACAGAAATCGTGCTCTGGCGGCGCGGCAGCAGCAGGAGGCCCCATTAGCTAAAGTGGTGCTTCAGGTTAAGAACAGTTTCAGGTTACGAACGGACCTCCGGAACGAATTAAGTACTTAACCCGAGGTACCACTGTACTGAGAAGGGATCCACCGAAGACACTATGGAATCAGGTAGTACAGGCCGGTAGAGCAGCATTGATCACCTGCCATGCGTGGTTCTTGGCTACCAAGAGAAAAGGGAGAAAGGTAGCAGGGGGCTTGGTGGGGGTGTAGTGGCAGGAGTGTCAGATTGGCCCTGCCGCTATTCACTCCCTAGTGCCATGCCCTTCCCTCTTGGTAGTAAGTAGCAGTGCAGAGGATTAGGAAGCAAAGTGAGCAGCACTGCCTCACTGGCCGCAACTGGAATCAGACAGTAGCAAAGGCAAGAACCTCACATGCCAAGAAGCGTAGCAAAGATAGGGAACAGCACCAAGAGTACTTTATGGGTGAGGCCATGCCAAGTTTACCACCGAGAAGACCCTGTCTTCTTCCCCTGCTGCTGGGACAAGTGCTCAGGGAGGTTCATTAATATCTTCCTGTACTGCTTAAGATAATCATGTAAGATTCAGTGGAGGGACCAAGGCAGGGACTTCTCTTTACATTTAAAAAAAAAAAAGACAGGATTTTTTTCACTGCTAATATGGATGTTACAACATCGTATTGTTTTCTGCAATATTCAAGATATATTTATAGTGTGACATCTTTCCTTTTGTCTTCTAGGTCCCCCAAGAGTTCAGCTTCATCTGGTGCTCAACTTAAAGTTGTATCTCTGACTTTGAGTCCCAATGCAGAAACTCTTTCACGTCCTTCTAGCCAAAGCAGCTTTTCTGGAACCTCTCGTAGCAAAAGCCCCAATTAGCTTTCAGTGTTATAACTGCAGGGAATGTCTCAGAGCTTTTAAAGACATAAATGATTTAATGTTTACCTACTATTTAGAAATACTAATTTGCTAAACTACAAGTTTCTTTGTGGATAAGTAATTTAAACATTGTTTACTTTGGGTTATATCAAACAAGCTGAGTTACTGGAAAATAGAATAAAAGTTGTTTTTTTAAAAAACCCTCAATGAACATGAAGTTATTTAATAATTTCAGTAGCCTAAGAAGACTGGCTTTAATGTTTCACATTTCTTCAGGTTTTTTAAAGATTCTGTAGCTTTAACTAATGGTAATCTTTAGAAAACAATATCAAACTGTGCTCCCCTGCCCTACCCGTCTCAATAAACTTCCTCTATTCATGACTCGGCTTAAGTAGCATCTTTCACTTAAAGATTCTGAGAGCGTTGGGGAAGTTTTCCTAAGTCTTCTTGCTTAAGAGGCCCCCTCTTGGCCCACCCCAAAAATGATTCAAGTGAAAAAGCCACTGGATGATCCACAGACATTAAAGAAAACCAAGGAAGTTTTATAAAAAATTTAATGGCAAGACAGGCTATTTACACACTAATGGCACATTTTTGTTTTTATTAACAATACAAAGTTAACAGTCATTGATGCCTTGGAAATATTCCTTCTGTAAAGTGCAATTTAGATGCCAATTAAGCACAGGTGGCAGTCTTAGTAGTAGTAAAGTTTCTCAGCCAATCACGCTATCACATATGAATATCCAAAACAGCAAAAGAATTTTTTTTTAAAAAAAGATATGATGTAACTCTTGCATATTCGCCATTCCCTAAATCAATATCAAGTAGAGGGAACAGAAATACCCCCCCCCCCCCTATTTTTCCCCATTAAGAGTACAGACTCATCAAGTGATTAGAAGCTGAACTATACTTGCACCTTAAAAAAAAAAAATCACTGGTTTTTCTGTTTACTTCCCTTTTCTCGCTCAAATTCAGCAATCTGATTAAATATGTTGACCAAATTCTGAGGCAGTTGTTTCTTAGCACCAGTTCCAGACTGTCCTTTACCATTGAGTGTTGCTTCTTCATCTCGCTCCTTGGCTTTTGTGGTTTCCCTTTCCCTGCTCTTGGGTTCTCTCTCACCTTTAATCCACGCCAACTCAGGTCTGTTGTCAGCACTGTACCTACTAGGCTCATTTATCCATTGGCTAGTATATCGGTTGTAGTGTTCAACTGATTTTGTTGAGTAATCGGACCCTGTTGGAGATGTGGAGTACTTTGTTTGGCTTGGGCTGTACTTCTGATAATGCTCCTTCTTTGATTCTTTTTCTAATTTTCCTGAATATCTCATCTTGTTCCTGTCATCAGACTTTCTACGATACGAACCTGTACTATCCCTCCTATCAGAAGAAACTCTATCTAACTTACCCTGTTTTTCAGTTGTGTTACTATTTGCCTGAGTCTTGGAACTGCTGTAGGACTCTCTAGAATCTTCAGACCTACCTCCATAAATATCTTCAGCGGCAGAAGTCCTTGATAGAGTGTGATCTCTCTCTCTTACCTCAGTCTTTTGATAGATTAACCTGTCCTGTCTCTCCAGCAGTTTCTCCATTTCATGCTTTTGATTAAGGAAAGAAGCAGAGGTATTGGCTGGAGGAGAGTAGCAGTCATCTTTCCTACTCTGATGTAAGAAACTCCTAGATGTGTGCTTTTTAGAGCTGCGTGAGGACTCGGACCTGTTCCGACTCCTTTTCTTACGCTTTTTGTTATCGGAAGAGGAAGAGGAGGAGGCAGATTCATCTGATGAAGAACTGCAGGAGGAAGAGGAAGTTGACCTTTTCTTTTTCTTCTTCAACCTAAAAGTTTTAATTAACCATGAGGTAATGCTGTTAGCATTAAAAATGCAGTATTTTTTGGCAAATATTTCCTACTTAGCTGTTGAACTATATACATTTTATGGTTTAAAAATTTCCTGGTAGTCAGGTTCAGAAGCTTGACTATTACTCATCTCATCAAGATGACCAAAATTACCAACCAAGTAGCAACACTAAAACAGGCATCACCAACCTGCGGCCCTCCAGATGTTTTGGCCTAAAACTCTCATGATCCCTAGCTAACAGGACCAGTGGTCAGGGATGATGGGAATTGTAGTCCAAAACATCTGGAGGGCTGAAGGTTGGGGATGCCTGCACTAAAAGGTAAAACAGTATTTGAAGACCATGCAGCTGCTGTAGGAATTGCTTTACCCTCCCCTTAAAAAAATAATAAACAGTGGATTAAGTTCAGTATAGTGTCTGATTTTGCTTACCAACACTCATTAGATTCCTAACTGAAATGCCATATACACTTCCTTTCTTGCCTTGCCTTATGTTCCCCCTTCCTCAAAACTAATATTTTTCCAATAAAGTTTTGCCTCAACCCCTTAATCTTTAAGCTCTGATGTGTGAAACTCTATTTCCTCACATTCATCTCATACTATTTTTGTCTCTTCCCCTTCTCTTTTCTGCTTTCTTCACCTGGGTCACAATATAGACTGTAACCTTACAAGAGTATTGACCTATGTTTATTCTAAAGTACTATATACAGTTATGGTACTGTATAAACAATTTTGGCAGTTATTCAGCTTTACCTATGAAAGACTAAATTGAGTGATTCAATACTGGTGCCTAAAGATTTGAAATTGGGAAAGGTATGTTTTGCTTCTTCACATGAGTGTAATGACTGCACAGGTTGCTTCTGTTTAATTTCTGTCAGGTTCCCAAGGATTGTATGCTCCAAGAAACAAAAGGTTGCATATGGTGAATGGTACAAAAAGAGGAGTAGGGCCAAAGGAATTTTCTTTCCATTGTCTTATAGATATTATCCTGTATCATCAATGCAAAAGAGTACAAGACTTGCTTATAACCAGACATTTTGTATATAACAAGAGGTCACATTTTCCCCACCCTCTGTGGTTAAGATCCCTTAATGTCCATTTTCATGTCACAGTAAGCCATAATGGGTTACCATGCATGAATGACTTGCACTCACTTCGCTGCTCCCCAATACCACTAGAAGGAAACAAATGACCCCAGATTTCATGGTTAGTTTCATTCCATACAAGCCACTGTAAGTCCAGGCTTGTTCATAGTGTACTGATTGCTGTAACCCTACAATGCAGTCTAAATACCTGGTTAAGAGCAACCCATTCTGTTCTCTTATGAAATGTGAATGAAATAATGCTTAGGGCATTCAAAACTATGCCTCAGAGTTCAGCTGTCATTACAAAGGAACTTCATGCTTTAATCTTCCTCATTTATTCCCTGAGACTTTAAAAAAAGAAGTAACTCTTGTGAAGGTTCTCATTAGCTTTTTTCACTAGAAAGAAGACACACACACACGCCACAAAATCAGCTCACCAATAACCACGAATGCCTTACTATACTTACAGTACCAACAAGGCTCTATAGAAGGTTGAATATGATGGAGGTTACCTTTTTTCTTCTTTTAAGAGCTTACGCAGTTTTTCTGCACTTGTTTCTATTTTCTTCTCTTTTTGTCTCTCTTCTTTTGCAGCTTGTTTCTCTCTCATTTCCAGAGATTTCTTTTTTGAATCCCAACATTGAAAATATTCCATTAACAAGCCAGTGTTGACCCAAGGTTCCCCCCCAAATTCCACCCAATATTCACACAGTTTACACCAACCCCAAGGTATCAGATCCAAAAAGAAAGGTATTCAAGGCAAAATAATTGTGTTCAAATGGGATGTTAAGCATTGAGATGAACAAGTATGGCATTAAGGACCATATTTGCAGTTTAAAACCCATACATTAAAAGAGAATAATAATAAAAGGACCAAGATGGGAATTAGCATCCATTGCCCAATACAATGACATTAGTAATTCAGAAGGCATAAATGGAAAAAATAGCAAAGTGGTCGGCCATACAGAATTAACCAAATACAGAGGCATCAAGGAAATAATCATTATTTGGATTTTTGGGTAAAACGTGATCCAAATTAAAACATAATTGGAAGAGGCCATGTATGAATACAAACCATATGGCAACCGTATCACAGCCCAGTTTGATGCATGGTTTACACACGTAATCATATTCCAATGGGTTGTTGATGAGCAGCACCAGAGGTCAGACACAGCAGCAACAGTTCCAGTTCAGAGGAAAATGCATTGAAGAAAAACATATCATCAGTATTACAGGAGGGCAACTGTTAAGTCTCAGCAGTAACTCAAGTCAACTTTGCATGTGCTTGTCTAGATTTCCCCCCTCACTGTCTGATGCTCCCCACCAAGGGGAGAGAGGTGCATATACGAAGGGGGACACAGAGTCTATTTTTACCAAGCTTCCATTTACAGGCTGCTTTTTGCTGGCATGTTATGTGGAAATGTCTCGGTAAAAATAGACATGGCATCCCGCTTTGCATGTATTCTTCTCTGCATGACGGAGGAGAGGCAGCATGTAGCGGGGGAAAGCCCAATACTGGCACGTACAAAGTGACCCTCAATGTGTTTCAAACATGCACGCTATAAATAAATCTCATCTGGAAAACTTTTATTACCAAACTTTGAGGGCATGCTAACTAACCCTGTAGGTTAAGGATCTTTGAAAATTATATTCAGTTGTAGGTAATCAGCAAGCTCATGGCAGAGCAGGAAAGCTGAATCTAGTTGCTGGATCAATATCCCAAGTTATTGGAACCAGTGCCAAAAGAAAAGGCAATTTTTTCTTTTCCAGGATTTATTTTGGTTCCGCTGGAATCAAGTTCTTGTAAGCCTCCCTGTGCCAACCTTGCAATCTGATCCCAAGCATACACGTGCTTCAGAAACAAGCTTAATCAATTCCAACAACGCTTATTTCCGAGTAACTATGAATTTCAGATTAGGTAGGTCCTGTTGGCAGAACTAATCTGATTGAGGCATCTTGAATCTAGCTTCAGTGCCATATTTTACCTCTTCTCTCAAATCATCCCCCATCCCTGATGTATCAGCAGTTCAAAAACTCCACACACATCCAGTTTGATGGCTGCAACCATGCTCCCAATAAATGACCCATGGAAACTTGCAAGAACAAAAAATAATGCATGCCTCTTGATGCATTTACCTCAGTCAACTAAGAGAAAGTAAAGAATCACCTGCATCTGCTTACGAAGTTTCAACAAGGCATCCTCGGCTTCTTGAAAGGTCTCATCTATGTTTAAAGCCTTCTTGTAGTAACTCTCAGCATTCAACAGCTTATCTTCCTCTTCTAACCTGGCAGATGATTTTATACAACATGTAAAATATTCTAACTACCACAATTAGCCTCAGCTACATTTTTAGACTGAGATCACTTTATGCTTAAGAAACGCTGACATCCTTTGCGATCAATCCACCAGCATTATAACAATGTGGGAACACGTTCCCATGTACCTCCCGCCATGCAAATGACATTGGATTGAACCTGAGCACAGCGAGGCATAACAAATTTCATAGCAGAGGTGATTGTGCGACATGTTACTGCACTAAAAAAAATCAAGCGTCTCCTAGGTATGGTTTAGTTCAGAAATCCTTAGGAAGAGATGGCAGTGAAATGACAGTTCTGCTAATTGAATCCAGCATTTTGCATGATAAAAAGAAGTTATATTTAAAACAAAGGTTAGGATGCAAGATGCAGCAGATGCCCACAACCATATAGTAGGAAGGACAGCAACGAAAAAAGTAGATGCCAAGGTATGGTGGGATGGGTATGACTGGAGCTGGGTTTTCCTGGCAAACCACATAGTGACATTAGCAAAAGGAGCCTGTGCCTCAATCCCAGCCCTCTAAAATAGCAAGTTTTGTTGACACAGATAACTTTCCCCACCTCTCCTTTGTCTTTGAGATAGTAATGAATGTGTGTGAGAGTCGGAAAAAGCACTGACTTCCCTGAGCACGACAGCTTTGGCTAAGGATCCTGTAAGTACAGTACTGCGGGGGGAAATGAAAGACGCTTATATGTTTGGCCCAGTCACAAGGCAACACTTACTGTCCTCCCCGTTCAACAAGCGTTTGGCAAAGGTATTTCCTGGCATTTCTGTGTGTTGGACAGTTTTCTAGAGCAACCTGAAAATCATCAATTGCTTTATTTAAGCTTCCTTTTGTTGCATACCTAGAAGGGGGGGAAAAACCTTGTTAAGTACAAATATTTTAAATTTGCTCATAAAATTATTTAAAATTCTGCATTCCAGCTACAAATCAAACAGACACTTACAGAGCTCCACGGGCTACTAAGGCTTCAACATTTTGCACATCTATTTCCAGTGCCTTGTTGTATTCATTCATAGCATCCACATGGCGGCCTTCTTTGAAATAATCCACACCAATCTTGACACTAAAAAAAAAAAGGCATTATGAATATTATGGTTTCTATATGCAAATCAATAATTGGGTAATTTGCTGCAGTAGTTCAAACTTGATAAGCTGTGAAGGCTAGTGACATTCCTAATTTTCTTTAGCTCCTAAATCTGCCTAATGCACTCATTATCATTGCAGATTTTCTCCAAATTCCTTAAAAAGCAGTTTTAAAATGCAGTGGAGTTTCCTCAAGTTACATGAAGATAAGGACAGAATTCTTTGGGGACTAACCTTATCTCCCATCGATCCTCCATGGGGAACAAAGTAACATTTAGCACTTTTATCCACATGTAGACAAACAACACATGCAATGATAGGAAAGCTCACTCCAGCCTTGTGAGCCAGAAGTACATGATCCAGAAATATGGCTAAATGGGAAAGCTAGTTAAGTATCATCACACTTGAATTATCTACGTTCTCACTTTACACGCACCTCAGCATGGTTCCCAATCATCAACCAGAGGAACTTGACAAATAGCTAATGTCCATTTCAAGCAAATATCACGATCCTGGGAGGAAAATGATAGTTCTTTCCAATCCTACATAAAACATTTGCCTATCAATATGAAGAAGTGCATACCATTTTAAGGCCCAGGAGGCTGATTGCTTTTTCCTCAAAGCAATGGCAAAGTCTTCTTCGTTGAAATTTTTACTAGGGGAGAAAAATAAATCGAGGAACATTTAAATCATAGACGCGTAAGAGCTGGATACCTCCCAGGGTCATCTAGTCCAACCCCCTGCAATGCAGGAATCCCAACTAGCTCATACATGACAGGGGCCATCCAACTTTTGCTACAAAACCTCCAAAGAAGGAGAGTCCACAACCTCTTGTGGGAATCTGTCCCACTGTCCAACAGCTCTGTCAGAAGGTTCTTCCTTTCTTGCAACCTGAATCGACAACACCCTTCTTAAAATCAGTAATCTTTACATGGAAGACTCAAAGCTAAATTTTGGCCCCTGAGCTGTCCCCATTAATTCCTTCTTTAGAGCACCCTGCCTTTAGGCAGAAAGGTAAGTATCAGAAATATAAAGAGTGGTAGGTGAAACAGAGGTCTTTACAGGATATGGGACCTACTGCTCAAAAGTAAACTGATCACTAAAGGAGGGCTAAAGGAAAATCTAAAAAACCTTTACCCTAACTGGCTCCAGCTGCTGCAGTCTTGTTTGTCCGCAAAACATTTAGAATGAAAAGCAAAAGGACTGATGGTATTTTAATTGATATGTACCAAGTCTCACTGCTTCACTGATTTAGTGTATGCTTGTGGAATATTATATGGGAAATGCAAAAATGTTAACGTTTAGTATGTGAGGCCAAAATAGGCAAAGGAGGACCTTGCCCCTAAAAACCTCTTTATCTTGCCTTCAATAAGTTTCTCTGAAGGTCGTCCTCAGGTGGCATTTGACTTTGATTCACTCAGCAAAAATCAATAAATCCTTATCCTCTCTCTGCTGGAGGGGCTGTGGTAATTTTGGATCCTATTTCCATGTTTTGTGGGAACGCAAAATTGCTCATATGTTCTGGACCACAGTTTCTGATATTATTTCTAAGATTATTTCCAAATCTGGCTTTAGCTCGGCTTTCACTAAAAATGGATTAAGACCTCACTATCTGACACGAAGATTTAGGGTTCTTTTTATTGACAGCCGCACGCTTTTGGAAATCTAAGGTTCAGCAACATATGGGAGATGGCTATCTCAGAGCAACTACTCAGGCACAGAAAGGTAGCAAAAGGTACTGCCAAGAGATACATTTATTGAAACTTTTGTCTCCTTTCTTTTTGTATGTAAGGGCATCCCACCGACTACCCAGATTTGTCCATGGAGAGGCTATATTAACCATTAATGTATTAAGAGTATGTTTGAGATGATACTACACAATTAACGTAATTTTAAGTGGATATAGTATTACGTAACTAGATTTGTACCCAATTCTTATTATTGTATTGTTATTTTGGAAAATAAAAATTTTATTTTAATTTTATGCTGTAAGCTGCCCAGGGTGGCTGGCGAAACTAGCCAGATAGGCACGGTATAATGATGATGATGATGATGTGTAGTGGGGGGAGGGGATGTACATGGTTTTCCACCTCTTCATTTAATTCCCACAATAACCCTGTGAGGTAGGTTAGGCTTTATGGCTGAGGGGGAATTTAAACCCTGGTCTCCCAAGTCCTTTAGTCACTAACCGTGCCCGTCTTGGCTGATTAGAGCGTGTCCAGAAGAGGTACGGGACCTCCTGGGGGATATCATCAATTTGTCCCTTGGCACGGGGACATTCCCAGGGGAACTGAAGGAGGCAGTGGTGCGCCCGCTCTTAAAGAAAACATCATTAGATCCTTTAGATCTATCCAATTACCGCCCGGTTTCGAATCTTCCGTTCCTGGGTAAGGTGATTGAGAGAGCGGTTGCTGAACAGCTTGGTGGGTTTCTGGATGAAACATCGGCTCTGGATCCATTCCAGTCCGGCTTCCGCGCTGGTCATGGGACCGAGACGGCTCTGGTTGCCCTAACAGATGATCTTCGTAGACAGCTGGATCGAGGCGGGTCAGGGCTGCTGATTCTTCTAGATCTGTCAGCAGCTTTCGACATGGTCGATCACGAACTTCTGGACCACCGCCTTGCCGACGTGGGGATCCAGGGTACAGTCCTTCAATGGCTGCGCTTGTTTCTCTCTGGTCGGGGACAGAGGGTGGCGCTTGGGGGGAAATTGTCATCGTGCCACTCCTTGGTGTGTGGAGTACCTCAGGGTGCGATACTCTCCCCGATGCTTTTCAACATCTTTATGCGCCCCCTCGCCCAGCTTGATCGGAGTTTTGGGCTGGGTTGCCATCAGTATGCCGATGACACCCAACTCTATCTGTTGATGGATGGCCATCCTGACTCGGCCCCAGACACACTGACCAGATGTTTGGAAGCTGTGGCTGGATGGTTACGTGGGAGCCGGTTGAAGCTAAATCCTTCGAAGACAGAGGTCCTTTGGCTGGGACGGGACGATATGGGGATGGGGGGGGCAACTCCCATCTCTTGCAGGGGCGCAATTAGTGCCAGCACCGTCCGTTAAGAGTTTGGGTGTAATCTTCAACACCTCCCTTTCCATGGAGGCGCAGATTGCAGCTATAACAAAGGCGGCATTTTTCCATCTCCGTCAAGCTAAGCAGTTGGCTCCTTTACCTCTCTCGCCCTGACCTAGCCACTGTGATCCACGCGATGGTCACCTCCAGACTGGATTATTGTAACTCGCTCTACGTGGGGCTGCCATTGAGACTGACCCAGAAACTCCAGCGGGTGCAGAATGCTGCAGCGAGACTCCTTACGAGGTCTTCGCTGTGAGATCACATTCACCCGGTGCTATACCAGTTGCACTGGCTCCCGGTGGAGTACAGGATCAGGTTTAAGGTGCTGGTTTTAACCTTTAAAGCCCTATACGGCCTAGGACCCTCGTACCTACGGGACCGCCTCTCCTGGTATGCCCCACAGAGAAACTTACGGTCTTCAAATAAAAACATCTTGAAGGTCCCAGGCCACAGAGAAGTTAGGCTGGCCTCAACTAGAGCCAGGGCTTTTTCGGATGTGGCTCCGATCTGGTGGAACACTCTGTCACAAGAGACCAGGGCCCTGCAGGACTTGACATCTTTCCACAGGGCCTGCAAGACAGAGCTGTTCCACCAGGCCTTTGGCCAGGGCACAGCCTGACTCCCTCCCTCGGCAATCTTCGCGGAGCTCTGGCCCAATGGTTGCCAGTGGCTTGAATTAATTAATTTTATAATGAATGATTTTAGAGTGTTGTTTATGCTGTACTTTTATACTGTTTTATTGTTGTTAGCCGCCCTGAGCCCGGCTTCGGCTGGGGAGGGCGGGATATAAATAAAATTTATTATTATTATTATTATTACTAACCCACACTAGGTGGCTGCATTAGTTTAAATCTGGTTGTGGATCAGAACGTTAACCTGTTGCCCAATATAAACTATTTGCTTTGTTTGTTGAGGAAGTTTAATAATAATTTAGTTGCAAATGGAAAAAGAGCTTTTCCTGCACTCTCTTTTTGTTTTTTTTTAAAAGTAATGGAAGTTTCACTTTAGTGAGCAATCTCAAAATAAAGTAAACCTGGAAGCTGCCCAAGGTTTAAAAGAACTGCAACACTTTCTGTGAAGAGGTGCCTTATATACCTTTGTAGTCCTCTCATTAAGGATGGTGGGCTGGATTCATTCAATCCTAGTTTTCCTACCAGAAACTCAACTACAGCTGGATTGGCAAAGCCCAAGGAATGATGTAAAACTTTATCATATGTTTCCAAACTGCTGGCTATTTCAACACTTTTCCTGGGGAAAGAAAAAGAGAGGTAGCAATTATGAGCATTCTGTCTTTGGTTCCACCTTGACAGGGACATCTTTCCCATTCTATTTCTAACATAGAACTTATGAGCGACAAGCCTAAAGATACATGGAAAGGTTGCCAATGGTATATGCCCAACTCACCCACCTCCTCAAGGGCCACTGGCACAACCACAAAATAGTTACTTTGTGAGGAGTTGCTAGTCATAAAATGTCCGTAGCACTTCCCGGTCTGTGCCTCCATTTGTTTTCTGAGAGGAACAAACACAACTTCTCTGTCTCCATTGACTGGATAGGGCAGCCTGCCTCAATCTAGCATTTAGAGACTGAATGCAAAATGTTTCTCCTCTTCACAATGAAGTGAATGTAGAACTCATTAATGGGCTAGAAACACACTGCATGTATCTAAGAAGTCACTGCATGAAGAATGAGAATGTGCCACATTAAATATTTCACCAGCTGCTTCTGAAATTGTGTGTACCCCAACCCCAACTCCTATTGCAAGGTCAAGGAAAACCTTAGAAACTTTTGCTTTTAGATAAGCATGGGTTCCTGTTGTCTGACTGGTAATAATGGTCAGTTACACAGGCCAGCTTCCAGCCACTGGTTACGAAGTTGGCTTGTTTAAATTAATGATAGTGACGGCTATAGTTCCTAGTTTAGACAAAAGGGCAAAGTGTCATTAACTAAAAGGAAATGAAAGCTTCAGAAATCCTCCCTCTAGACTCACAGGAGGAGCAGAGGGAAAGGGACGAAGTGTGCAAGCCCAGAAGACTAGGATGACTTACGTAGTGTGAAACTATGGTTGAGCATTATGTTCAAATGTGGCCAAATATTTTATTCTATTCAGGAAAGCCCAGTATGTGCCAAAGAGTTTATTGAGCCACTAAAGAAAGCAGATGCATTATATTACTGTTTCATACCTGTAGTGCAGAGGCAGATCTTCTGAGCTGATTACTCCTAATTTGGTACTTGCTAGACTGGGTGATAGAGCAGAGCTGTGCAGTGATACTGTGAGCTTTTCATGGTAGCGATCAATATCCTTGATTGCAGCTATTAAAACACAAAAAAGGCTTGATTTAAGCAGCAGAATATCCTGTCAACATTTCCTGAAAATAAATATGAAGGGGGAATCTAGTTGTGAGGCAGTCAGAGTCTAAGTCAAATTAACTTGCCTTGGATAAGGTCACCTGTTTGATAGTATGATAAAGGGTCACCATGGCTGCTCTGGGAAGGCACATCCCTCAATGGACAAAGAGCCTGAAATAGAAACCAAATGACCAAAAACGTTAGCATGCTTTACCAGACCAGTAAATGTTCTTGCTGGGGCAAGGGGCACACATATAACTTGTATAAATGAATTCTCAGGCCAGCTAAATTCATTGCAGGGAGGGGTTCACTTAGGAGAAGCCATGTTGGACTGAACTTGCTGTAATGGCAACACTGAAGATTCAGTCCTGCTGACATTTTAGCTCCAAATCACAAGGGGAGGGAACAATATGCTATGCGCAAGGGAAAACATGGTAAGAGAGGTGGATTTGTGTTTTCTTCCTATTTTTGCAGTGTTCACCAGCCCCGTAATTCTCCCAGTGTCCCACGTAGGTTAGGAATTGCTGTAAAGCTGAGAAGCTCCCAGTAAGATGAGAACGTGATCTGACAGAGAGCCTTATGGTAAGGCAGTGAACATGAAATCACCTGCAGATCCTTCTTTTTATGTTTACAGGGTCTCATGAAAATCTTTGGCCTCTCCTCCAGACGAAGAGGCGCTTCTCCAAGCATAAATGCTTCTTGCACATTTTCCAATAAGATACATACAACTTACATTTTTGCATAACACCCTTGAGCACAGAAAAAGGAAGCAGAATTCATTTGAAAACAAATTCTACTCAGCTACCGCAAAGCAAAATACATAAATGTTTGCAAGAATGTCGTTTTGAGATGTCTCCCTTTTTAAAGAGCCACACAAATGCTATCAAAACTGCAACAGAGTTCACTTGAAGGCTTTTATGTCCTCAAAATAACCTTTAAACAGAAAAAGAATGAGAAATGTTTTGCTGAGGTAGCGAAACATCTTCTAGCTCACCACTTTTCAAAGCCACACTACAGTAAAAGCTTTAAACTACTGACTGTCCCACAGAACACATTTACTTTTCCTGAGCAAGCAGCTCCCAATTTGTTGTACAAAAAGCTAACACAAAACAAAATGATCCATCAGAAGGTGTCTTCAGCGCAAGAATTCACATGTGAATAGTTATCATCAGACTTACAGTGATCTCTAGATCTGCTATCTCTCGAGTGACGCCACTTCGAAGGCAGAACAGCACCATGAAAAAACCAAATTCACGAATGGAACTAATCCTTCCAATCACTATGTCCCCACGCTCAATATCACGGAAAAACAGCTCTCTCCTCTCTGCACTGGGAACATCCATGAACTGCTCCAAAGGTGGCATAGTAGCATAATAATCTTCAATTGAGATAAAAAGAGTCATGTTGAAATAAAATATTATACAAACAGTTTTTAAAATATGATATTATCCACTGTATCACATAAAACATTTTAAATCAAAAACTGCCACCTTACAGTGTAACCTTTCATATGCCTACTTCAACGGGACTAAAACTCACAGGTAAGTGGGTTTAACATTTCACTCTTACAGAACAATCCTAAAAATGCCTACTTAGAAGGAAGTTCTAGTGAATTCAGAGGGGCTCACTCCCAGGCAATTGGGGTTAGGATTGTAGCCATAGCTTCTTACAGCTATTCACAATTTTGACACACAAGCCACTTAGAACACTCCTCCCCTGGCCCAAATTAGTATTTAAAGAACTTGTCTACTTGTACCAGAGCTGGAACTTGACCCCAAAGACAAGAGATCCCAGTTCTGGTGCATATATTAAAATCACATTTATTATATAGCGGGACAGAGCACAGAATAACAGAGAAAATACTAATACAACTATTTCCCCAGTGAAAATTGGTGTCTGAAAACATCTGTAGTTTTTAATTCAAAATATCCACTTTCAAGCTTCACAAACTTCAGAAAATGGAAGATCTACACACATTGAAAACCAAGTCCACCTGTTAGTATGTTTCTTGATGATATATGCATATATTTAAACATTTACTGATTTGTTTTACTTGATATAGGAATCCTAGGCAAGTGAGAAGCAACAGACATCAAATGATGTGTTGTGCAAAGGCTTTGGCACTATGAAGCTATTCTGTATTCTACCACATTTGCAAATACTATTCCAACTACATCTGAAAAATGTTGCTTAGCATATTACTGTTGACTGAAATACTAACAATGCTTGAACTCTAAATCAAGAAGTAATGTGAACGGATTATAACAGTACTGTTTTCAAAAACTGCTTTAATAAATATTTCACTTCTAATACTTAAAAGAGCAAAATATTTCATATGAAGGTTTTTCTTAATTTTTCTAGACCATGGGGTGAGAGAAGAAGAGAAAAAAACATTAAGGAGATGCACTTATCAGCATGTACCACTAATCACAATATGACTTACAACTTTTGCCTTGTCTTAGTAGAAATCTTACCTTCATTCTCTTCATTTGCTTCTGTTGTTGTTGGCACATTTGTTTTCCAAGCATGAGAAAAAAGGAGATCAGCTTTTTTTGCAATGAAATGCTGTATCTCAATATTTTCAAGTCCTCTCTCTTTCCTGAAACAGCAAAGAAAAGAGATTAGCACCTCCTAAATCAGGGCCCACCAACCTGGGGTGACACCTCCCATGCTACCCACAGAAAGGTCTCTTTACATCGATAAAGGTAAAGGTACCTCTGACCGTTAGGTCCAGTCGCGGATGACTCTGGGGTTGCGGCGCTCATCTCGCTCTATAGGCCGAGGGAGCCGGCGTTTGTTCGCAGACAGCTTCCAGGTCATGTGGCTAGCATGACTAAGCCGCTTCTGGCGAACCAGAGCAGCGCACAGAAACTCTGTTTACCTTCCCGCTGGAGCGGTACCTATTTATCTACTTGCACTTTGACGTGCTTCCGAACTGCTAGGTGGGCAGGAGCTGGGACCGAGCAATGGGAGCTCACCCCGTTGCGGGGATTCGAACCGCCGACCTTCCGATCAGCAAGCCCTAGGCTCTGTGGTTTAGACCACAGCGCCACCCGCGTCCCTTCTTTACATAGACCTGAGTAAATGTTCCCTCAAAAAGCCACTCTCCAGCCCCAGGAGCCTTCATAAGGGAGCCATTTGCAGAGAAAGAACTGAGGGGAGAGAGACCCTGTATTGGACAGAGGGGGTGGTGGGTTTCACCTGTGCTGCCCCACTTCCAGGCCGAGGAACCTTCAGAAGGGAGTTGCTGCCACTATGTGTATTTTAATGAGCTGAATAGAGTAAAACATTATGAGTCGTGGGTGTGTGGAGGGAGCGTGTATGAACTTAACAGTGCTTAGTTTATTTTATGGCGGCTATTTTGTTAATGTTGTCGATATTGTTTTACAGATTATAAATGCTGTATTGATTTGTTAAGCATACAATATGACTTTTGCTTTAACAGTGATGTTTAACTTATTTTTTAGTTGTTGTTTTGGTAACAGTGTTTTATAGACTGTAACTGTTTCACTGAAGATTTGTTATTTGTTCTGTGTGATTTATGCTATACAGGCAGTGACTTTGAGGTGCGTCTGATATGTGTGCAACCGCGAAGCACCACACGCTGAACCCAGAAGTGACCCGAAAATGTCACAAAAGGGGGTGGGGAAGGAATGGCGTGTTTGTAGGCTTTTGTAATGGGTGTTCCAATTATACACGATTTCACATAAGTGTGCAGTGCCAAGGCATGCAACCCCCACGCAAATCGGTCACTGCCTATATTGGTGATGTTCTATCATGTTGTTATTATTTACTGCTTATAAGCTGCTTTGGGATTCATTTGCATGAAAAGCAGCATAGAAACGTAATCAACCAAATCAAACTCTCTGCTTTTACTGCTCAATTCCTGTCTGCACTGACTCAGCCTTTCCTACATGCAGCATGCACCCTTCAAAACGTGCAGGTTTGGAAAGTCAGACCCCCCCTGCCCCGCTGTGAATGGAGGAAAGGTGCAAGGAGTTTCTCTCTTTGACTGCAAGGTGGCTGATGCAAGTGCTTTTCCCACAGACGAAGCAGGTGATGACAGGGGCATATCCACTCTTTTGTGGTCCTATATATTTTTCCTGCTCTTTCAGATGTAGCAGGCTTGCATTTCCTAAAATTTTCAAAAGGTTCCCTACCCCTGCCCTAAAGGAACACTGTTCCAAATGAGAACTTGGCAACTTGATTACTATAACAGCATTGTAGATAGAAAACACACTACCTCATTCTAGTAAGTCTGCTGTAAAGTGCACAACTTTGCTCTTCCAGCTGATGCTTTGTAATTATATGTTTAGGAACATGATTGTCTAATTCTGCCTTGAGCCACTTTTGCATTCAAAACACATTAGCTCTTAGTCAGCTACCCTTTCAGCCTTTAGCATATCATTAAACATATGTTTCTTTCTTGATGCCATTAAACTGATATCTGTACATTCCTCAGTATGTTTATTCAGAATTCCTATCAAATTTAAAGCTGCTTCCCTAGTACGTTCTGGAGTCTGACATAGCTGGTTGGTGACTGCCAATGCTATATATGTACACACACCCGTATATATATGCTCGTGTGTGTTATTTGTTTATAAAAATATTCCTATGCCACTTTATCATAAGAATATCAAAGCAGCTTACAGTAGTATCTGTATATAATAAAAGCACATAAAAATTAAAACCAGAGACCATCAGTTAACTGTTATGGAAAGATGTGTTCTTAATTGCCTGCATAAGCTTGGCAGAATAGAAGTTTTTCAGCAGACATTTAAAAGTTTAAATAGATGTCACTGCTCAAGTTCTCATCATTACCACCATCAACATTTTACTTGTATGCCACCTTTCCATAGTTAAAACCATGCTCAAGGCGGCTGAATCTATTGACACCAATATTCCACAGGACTGGGCCAATGACACCAGAGGCTTTGTTTCATGTTAATGTCAAATGACTGTCACCAACTCAGAATAAAACCAGTGTCATTCCTGCAATGATCTTAAGTGATCAAGCTGGGATATGAGGGCACAGCTGGATGGCACAGAAGTACTAACATCTAACTGCTGTGCTGGAGGAGGATTGGGGCTTTACATCATACAACACAGAATGCCACATGGGGGGGGAGGGGAACGGACATGTTTATGTTGTGGAAAGAGGGAGGGTGCTCCAGTGGCAAATTTCTAGAAAGACGCTGAGCAATGGAGCAGGTGCGTTGATCACAGAAGGCCCCGAGTTCAAATCCCCAGGTAGGGCTGGAGAAGAATCTTGTCTGAAACCCTTCGGTCGCTGCCAGTCGAGAGCCATCCATTTTGAACTAGATGCACCAACAAGCTTGAAAGAGAATAGGGCAACTTCCTACAGCTACAGCCTGCTTTCAAACCTTATCAAGCAAAACCTGCTATGATATATTTAAGGTATATATATATATATATATATATATGGTATACGTTTAATAGGTTATTGTATTTTAGTGTTTTGTTGGAAGCCGTCCAGAGTGGCTGGGGAAACCCAGCCAGATGGGCGGGGTATAAATAATAAATAATAATAATAATAATAATAATAATAAAAGCACCTACACATGTTCAGAGGCGCTCTTTCATGGGATAATACAGAGCCTCAGGGGCGGGCTGCAAAATAAAAACAAACCCTGGGAGAGCTCAGGCGGCCAGACTCTTCCTCTCAGGGTCGCGGGTTCGAATCCCACGCCGGGCAAAAAGGATTCCTGCACTGAAAGGGGGTTGGACTAGATGACGCAACACGCGCCCACCCAGAGGCCCCGCCCCTTTCCCCTCCCCCTCCCCCCAGCCAAGGCAGGGCCCGCTCACCTGGCTGGCGGCAGCGCCTCCAGGCCAGGCCCGCCCGGCGGCAGGAGGCCTCGGAAGTCGGGGTTGTCGTGCTGCTCTGTGCGGAGCAAGGGGAGCAGCGCCGGCCCGTGAAAGCCGAGCGCCTGGCGGAGCAGGTCCCGCTCCATCCCCCGCGCAGTCGGCCCGCCTGCTCCTCCCCCTCACGCAGAACGATCTACGCGACCCGGAAGGGAAACCTTTCCGTAGACTTTCCCTCACGCCCTTCTCCCCGCGCTGAAGCGGCGAATTTGGCGCAGGCGCAGAGGGGAACCCCGCTCGTCAGCATTAAACTCCGGTCGCGAGGAAGGGGCGGGGAGGCGGAGCTTCGCGAGGAAAGGGCGGGAAAGGCTGTTGCTTCGCCCTATTTACCTCACGAAGTGGTCGCGCCTCAGTAAAAGGCGAAGTGCGTTTCTCTGGAGCTTCGCGAGGGGAGAACGGAGTTGGCCTTAAATGTAATAAAATGAATTTTTCTTGCCCTTGTGAAGTTTCTTTCTTTCTTTAGTGCAGTAGCCTAATGTCATTCAGAGACTCATGAAATACGACAGGCGCGCGCACTCTGCACTTTCCAGAAACAACCGAAGACATTTTTGGTCCCCATAGGCTTTCCCAGCTGGGCATGGGAGCAATCCTAAAGATGAGAAACCAGTATACAGTGGTGCCTCGCAAGACGAAATTAATTCGTTCCGCAAGTCTCTTCGTCTTGCGAGTTTTTCGTCTTGCGATGCACGGTTTCCCATAGGAATGCATTGAAAATCAATTAATGCGTTCCTAGGGAAACCGCCTTCAGACCAGGTCCGGGACAGTCTGTCCCCGGACCTCTTCTGAAGGCTGGGGGCAAGGGCTTTTCTTCCCACCCCCAGCATTTTAAAACCCCGGGACAGCGGATGACTTCTCCGCTGTCCGGGCGATCTTAAATTGCTGGCGGGCGTCATTTTAAAATCACCCAGGGATAGCTGAGGACTTCTCCGCTGTACGGGGCAATTTAAAAGCCCCTGGGAAGGCAGGCAGGGGGACAAAGACTTTGCCCCCGCCAGCCTTCAGAAGAGGTCCTGGACCTCTTCTGAAGGCGGGCGGGGGCGAAAGTCTTTGCTCCCCGCCTTCAAAAGCCCTCCGGGACAGGCAGGCAGGGGGAGCAAAGACTTTCGCCCCCGCCCGCCTTCAGAAGGTCTTCCCTCCCCCGCCCGGCTTCGGAGCACCGCTCCGAGCCGGGCGGCGGCGGGAGGTCTTCCTCCCCCCGCCCGGCTCGGAGCACCGCCCGGCCGGGCGGCGGCGGAGGTCTTCCCTCCCCGCCCGGCTCGGAGCACCGCTCCGGGCCGGGCGGCGGCGGAGGTCTTCCTCCCCCGCCCGGCTCGGAGCACCGCCCGGCCGGGCGGCGGCGGAGGTCTTCCCTCCCCGCCCGGCTCGGAGCACCGCCCGGCCGGGCGGCGGCGGAGGTCTTCCCTCCCCCGCCCGGCTTCGGAGCACCGTCCCGGGCCGGGCGGCGGCGGCAGGTGTTCCCTCCCCGCCCGGCTTCGGAGCACCGCCCGGGCCGGGCGGCGGCGGCAGGTGTTCCCTCCCCCGCCCGGCTCGGGAGGAGCCTTCCGGCCCGGCGGCGGCGGGAGGAGGTGTCCCCGCCCCGCCGCCAGGCTTCGGAGGAGGTCCGAGGACAGTGGGGAAGACGCGCTGCGCTTCCCCGCTGTCCCTGAGATTTCCCTATGGGCTGTCGTCTTGCGAAGCAAGCCCATAGGGAAATTGCTTTATGAGCGCTCCAAAACGGAAAACCCTTTCGTCTAGCGGGTTTTCCGTCTTGCGAGGCGTTCGTCTTGCGGGGTACCACTGTAGAATAAGATTTTTTTGGGGGGGTGGGGTAGGTGGAAATTCCTGATCTAAACTCCATTGAGTGGCTGAGGGGGCCTAAACGGGAGCATGAAAACGAGCCTTTAAAATAGAGTTTCGTTTCATAACATCCTTTTTGGTGGCTTCACTTGAGACAGGTCAGACCATGCTGAATTGGTTCAGGGTGATTTCAGCCTAAAGCCCCTTCCTATCTAGCCACAAATTTGGGGATGCCCTCCTTTCCAGGACTTAGGACAGTTTAAGATTTGGCAGGGCAGATGCTAAATTAGAAATGTCCAAGCTCAGCTGGAGATCTGCTGGATCCCAACTGCTCATCCTGGTGGATCTATTCTAGCCTTAAGGTTGTGTCCTAAATGGGTCTTTGCCATGAGTGTCTATTTTGGATGATATTACTGGTAGTTTTGCTTTCAATGTTTATTTCTCTTTTTTTTTTTTGCTATTTTTTATTGTACATCACCTTGAGATGTTCACATATAGGCGATTAATAATAATAATAATAATAATACATTTTATCTGTTTTGTTTTTTTAAGTAGGGGTTTTTGTATATATTGCTGATAACATTTAAATATTGCTGCAAACATTTCTGAGATCATGGTTTTTTTCCAACTAGTGGCTCTTGTCAAGGTTTGTTAATTGTCTTACTTTAAATGATTTGAGGATCCTATGTCCTTTTAAAAGGTATTTTTTTGGGGTGGGGATTTACTGGGTTGTTTTTATTTTGATTATGTATTTTGTGGTTTTATATTTTGATTTTATTCTGTGAACTGCTCTGAGACCTCCGGGTATAGGACGGTACAGTGGTGCCTCGCAAGACGAAATTAATTCGTTCCGCGAGTTTTGTCGTTTTGCGATTTTTTTCGTCTTGCGAAGCACAGTGTCGGGAAAGTTTTGGAAAAGCTTCAAAAATCACCAAAGTCTTTAAAAACCTCAAAAAAGGCTACCACACCGCGTTCTATGAGTTGCTCCTCGAAGTCAAGTCACAACTGTATTAACGGTGTTAAGAAAAAGGAAACAAACTTGCAAGACGTTTCGTCTTGCGAAGCAACCCCATAGGGAAAATCGTCTTGCAAAGCAGCTCAAAAAACAAAAAACCCTTTCATCTAGCGAGTTTTTTGTCTTGCGAGGCATTCGTCTTGCGAGGTACCACTGTATATAAATTATTATAATAATGGTTTGTGTGCTGTACCAAATTTGATCTCATCCCCAAAACGTAAATTCTTCCATTGCCTCCTGAGACAGGTGGATGCCAGGACATGTATAATTAGACTTCGGCACCACCTAAATATTTTTTTTTCAAGCAAATGGTTTGTAAATTTACTAAATAAATAAATAAATGCATAATGTAGGCAAAAAAATAATAATCAGAGAGCTGATAATGAGATAATGGGTTCATCCAAAGCTCTGTGAGCAGCATCCTATTTGCACAAGGGGACTTCCTCTTCTTTGAATCTGCCCCAGAGGGTCCTTGCTGGTGGGGGCCGAAGGAGAGAGGTTGGGGACGTTGCCTTGCACAAGTGGGAAGCCTGTCGTGCAAGTGAAACGGCAGTGTCGCATGCGACCTGATAGATATCACAACGATTTTTGAGAAGCAGGACGACGGTCCAGGAAAAAACACTTCCACGTGTCTCCTATTAGTGCATTTTTATTTAAGAAAAATGTCATTTGCATTTGTTGTTCACCTCTTTGTTTTCCTGTGAAGAGTGGGATAAAATGTTCAACATCAATAAGGAAGTTAAAGAATGCTGTTCCTGATTGTTATTTTGTTTGATGAATTTGTAAATCACTCTGCCCTAAAGATGTGTAAATATTAGGAATATATACAGTATACACACACACAAACACACACACAAGAACCAGCTATCACATTAATACTTTGCTGTTCTAGAGATGATGAGAAATATACAATGGTATAACTGAATTTCAGATAAGCTACAAAACTTCATACATTTACTAAATTACCAGGCAATATGGAAGTGAGAGCTGGATCATAAAGAAGGCTGATCGCCGAAGAATTGATGCTTTTGAATTATAGTGCTGGAGGAGACTCTTGAGAGTCCTGTGGACTGCAAGAAGATCAAACCTATCCATTCTGAAGGAAATCAGCCCCGAGTGCTCACTGGAAGGACAGATCCTGAAGCTGAAGCTCCAAGACTTTGGCCACCTCATGAGAACAGAAGACTCCCTGGAGGACAAGATGGTTGGACAGTGTTCTCGAAGCTACCAGCATGAGTTTGACCAAACTGGGAGGCAGTGGAAGACAGGAGTGCCTGGCGTACTCTGGTCCATGGGGTCACGAAGAGTCGGACACGACTAAACAACAAATGCCAACATCTGACATCCCAACTTGCTAATTCTGAAAGGCAAACATGGCCTCCAGATTTTATAAAGCTTGATCTTAAATGGATTTTATCAAACTTTACAACCAGAATGGAAACTTTTATCTTCCTGCGAGGTTTGGTTTCAGAATAGGATTGAAGCCTAAAACACAATGACATTCAGGGTCCTTGAAAAATCTGCAATGTGCAGATATTCCACTAGAGGGTGAAACAAGATCATGTGAGTCTAACCAACTGACTTATTTTTTAATTTTTTTAAATACCTTTATTTTTGTGTGCACCTATGTATAGTCTGTAAGTATGTTCAGTATCTTCATAGATAGATACAGTACATATATGTTTCTAGCTACTGGATAGATAGATTTCTACCAAATGTTTGTAATATGGATTCCAAATCTGTATGTTATTGTTGCAATCCTGCTTCTCTAGTCGTGTTTTCACACGGCTGACTTAGACATAAATATCAATAAAAATATTGACAGGACACCTTTCTGACTGCAACTCTTCCAAGAAGGTTTACATAATACTATAAGGATACAAACAATACAAAGATAAAGATAAAACTACTACAATCCACTCATAGTTAATGCTGTTCCATTTATCAATGAAAACAGTGATTGCTATAACATCAATAGTTCAAAACAAAACATCCCAGTTGAAAAAGATTGCCATCGGAAACGGATCTTCATAGCCTTCTGGAGATCCTTAGATCCTATACACAGTCAATAATAATTTTTATATCCTGCCATTCCTCCAAGGAGCTCAATGTAGCATGCAAGGTTCCCTCCATCACCCCACCCCCCCATTATCCTCATAACTCTAATGTAGAGATAGTGAGAGATAGTGATTGGGGTCAAGGTCACTTGGTATGCTTCATGGTTGAGCAGGGTTGGAACCTGGGTCTCCCCAGCCCTGATTCAACATTTAATCTCTGCATCACTCAAGTTCTCAGTAAAGGGCGATTGCCCTTGTTTCCTGCTCGTGAACTTTCAGAGACATCTGGTTGGCCACTGTGGGAAATAGGATGCTGGATTAATGAACCATTGCTCTGATCTAGCAGGGCTCTTTTTCTGAACGTGAGCTCCATTGAACACAGTGGGACTTGTCCCTTTGAGTATGCCTTGCCCGTCCTGGTTTTAATTCACTTGAGGATGCCTCTGCAACCTTCTGCAGAGGTTTTTAAGTATTTCAGAGCCCCAAGTAGCTTATGGGTTCATTCACCCTTGAGCAATTAGCATTTTTTCTCCCTGCCTCTGTGTTGGTTTAACTCACACCCCCACTTTCACAGCATGCATAACCAGTAGCCTCTAAAGAGCAATTAAATCCAAGTGCCCATTGAACATTTAATGAAGCAGAAGCTCCTATCTTGCCCCAAAGTCATTAGCAGCCCCCATTCTTGTTTGCTTTAAATGGTATTGTGGTTTAAATTATCCAAAAGCAAAAAAAATATATCTAGAGAACACGATTAGTCTGAATAACTATCAACAAGAGGCAGTATTTAAGTTGTGGAGGAAATGAAGGAGGCACAAATTAACTGATATTTCAAATTCCAGACTGGTAATAATTTATGTTGCTGCAAAAACAGCCTTAGAAGCAGTGGCGGAGCTTCATGCTCCGGCACCGGGGGGCGGAGAGCAGGCAAGGACGGGGTTGGCGTGTGTCCTGGGGGTGTGGTGAGCTGCCCGTAGGGACATGGTGCACGTCTTGGGGGCATGGTGCCCAGCGTGGGCAGGGGGGCAGCCACAATGGCACCCCGCCGGGATCGCGCTGCCGGGGGCGGTGCACTCCCCCTGCACAACTCTTCCTCTGCCAGTGCTTAAAAGTTAACAATTTTATAGCATAACATGCACAAAGTGCTATGCTAGGATGCCAGAAACATAAACACAAGTGTGTAGTATATTAAAAAGTAAGCGATGAGGTAAGAGAGAAATGAACTGCCAAAATTACGGACTGTGATACTAAAGTTCAAATGTATGTAAAATAATTGAACATTGCTATTATTAGATATATTATTGGTACCATTATAATCATCATCAAGTCATGGATAGGTTCAGTTCTAATTAAATTCAGTGGGTCAAGTTGCATCCACATGGCACTGGATGGTTCTCTATTAGTGCTGCAATCAATAATGGATGTTTAAAAACTTTGTAAACCAAAATTACCTGCTGGATCAGACCTGCGGGAAACCTTTTGGTGTTTGTTGAGGTCTTCTTAAAAAAAAAAAAAGAGCTCCTCGTTTCAACTTTTTGAAATATGGCAACCCTAATGATGTTGCCTCTTACCTTTTCTCTAAACTAAAAAATCCCACATGCTGCAACCTTTCTTCAAATGGGTTCATTTTGGTTGCCCTTTTCTGAACCTTTTTCCAACTCTACTATATCCCTTTTGCGGTTAGGTGACCAGAACTGTAGTCAGTATTCCAAATGTGGTTGTACCCAGTGCTATTTTTCTAGAAAAAGAAGTTCCAGAACTCGCCATGAATGCTACCTTATTCTCTTATAATGGCAATGATGCCCACCTGAGAGGAGGCGGAACTGAGTTTTATTGCAGTTTTATTGCATCAGTATAGGAACCTGCTTTATACTGAGTGAGATTGCTGGTCCACCTCATTCATTGTTGTCTACACCAGGAATGGGGAACCTGTGGTCTGCCAGATTTTGCTAGACTACAACTTCCGCCATCCCTAACCATTGGCCATGGTAGCCGGAGCACTGCTTGGAAAAGACACATATCAAAGCTAAGGTTTCAGAGAGATCTGCAACGCAAGCAGAAAGAAAAGGTGTTTTAGATAAAGCAAAAAACAAACACAAAACAAAACCATCAAAACCTTTTGTTGTTGTTAAGTCGTTTAGTCGTGTCTGACTCTTCGTGACCCCATGGACCAGAGCATGCTAGGCACTTCTGTCTTCCACTGCCTCCCGCAGTTTAGTCAAACTCATGCTGGTAGCCTCAAGAAGACTGTCCAGCCATCTTGTCCTCTGTCGTCCCCTTCTCCTTGTGCCCTCCATCTTTCCCAACATCAGGGCCTTTTCCAGGGAGTCTTCTCTTCTCATGAGGTGGCCAAAGTATTGGAGCCTCAGCTTCAGGATCTGTCCTTCCAGTGAGCACTCACGGCTAATTTCCTTAAGAATGGATGCGTTTGATCTTCTTGCAGTCCATGGGACTCTCAAGAGTCTCCTCCAGCACCATAATTCAAAAGCATCCATTCTTCGGCGATCAGCCTTCTTTATGATCCAGCTCTCACTTCCATACATCACTACTGGGAAAACCATAGCTTTTACTATACGGACCTTTGTTGGCAAGGTGATGTCTCTGCTTTTTAAGATGCTGTCTAGGTGTGCCATTGCTTTTCTTCAAAACCTTTAAGCAGGGGCAATTTTAACGAAGCAAGGGAAACTTTGCTGCAAGCACACTTCCCTGGCATCAGTTGATTTCCTGTTGCGGCCTGACGTCTGCTATAACTCTCCTATTCCAGCAGTCGTGGGGGAGAGAGTACAGCTGCTAGGCTTGACTGTCATGTTTCCTGTTTAGCAGCTGCTCCAGAACACATGCTGCTACTTAGAGCAAGGGAAAATAGAGGCATCAACAGAATGACACAGCAATCTTATTCTTTGAAAAGCTAAATATGATTGCATCCTCCCCTCAACGCAGTTAACTCCTAAAGAATGCACAGTGGAGGCAAGGAAAGGACAATCCATTGGGCAGAGAAACATACCTTCTTTCCTAGAATCCTTGATCCGTATTTCCTTGAGACAGGAGTTTGCAGCCACTTAATTCTGCAGGCAGTTTCAGCGGGAGAAAGGGAAACCATTATGGAATCAATTGTGGCTTTCTTTGATGAGGAAAATATACAGCATAAGCAGTTCAAAAATTTCCCCCTCGGTGCACTGTGCTATCGCACAGTTTATCCACATGACACATCATAGTGATTAATGCCAACTGCATGGCAAACCTCCAGGATAAACACAAATTGCACATTTTCAACGGAGAAATTGACAACAATCACATCCTCTGGGATTTGTAGGAATCAGTCTCCAGCACCTGGAATTGTTTTGTGTTACAACATCTTCCTTGCTCCTCTCGCTGCTGCTTTAGCACTGTAGGGTTGTCACTCGCTCATAATTTATGGCTTTTTCGTACTTCAGGAGCTAAGAATGGAAGAAGAACATGCTGGCTTAAGCCAGCTTCCCATCAGGTGTGGCATCCTGTTCTCACAGTGGCCAACAAGATGCCTATGGGAAGCCTGCAAGTAGCTCCAGATTGCAACAGCATACTCCCCACCTGTGATTTCAGAGCAGCTGCCAGTCATTCCCAGGGTAGCCAACGTGGTAAAGATAACTGCCTAGGTAGGAGACGTGATTGACATTTTCCAACGTTACACCACTGAGTTGGATTTGTGGTGTTGCAGAGGGGTTATTTTGTACTTGTTGGATGCAGCCCTTTGGTTTTTTGGATGTTGAGTGAGCGACAAGCCAAGCTTTTCATAAACTTCTGCGAAGATATTTAGGATGGTTTGGAGGTCATCCTCTCACTACATTGTCATCAGCATACTGAAGCTCTATGACGGAAATTACGGTAACCTTACTCTTTGCTTTCAGCCTGCTCAGATTGAAGAGCTTTCCATCTGTTTGATATATGATTTCTACCCCAGTGGGGAGTTTCCCCACTGATTCAATGATTCTTCAACATCAACTTCATTGGACTGGTCATGTTGTGCGGATGCCTGATGATCGACTTCCAAAGCAACTACTCTATTCCGAACTTAAAAATGGAAAGCGTAATGCTGGTGGTCAACAAAAGAGGTTTAAAGACTGTCTCAAGGCAAATCTAAAAAAATGTAGTATAAACACCAACAACTGAGAAACACTGGCCTGTGAGCGCTCCAGTTGGAGAACAGCCTTTACCAAAGGTGTCATGGACTTTGAAGACACTCAAACTCAGGACGCAAGGGAGAAACATGCTAAGAGGAAGGCATGCTTGGTAAATCCACACCATGATCAACTCCCGCTGGGAAACCAATGTCCCCACTGTGGAAGGACGTGTGGATCCAGAATTGGCCTCCACAGTCACTTACGGACTCATTGTTAAAACCGTGTTTATGGAAGACAATCTTACTCGGCTACAAGTGATCGCCAAAGAAGAAGAAGCCAGCGTAGTGCTCTCCACCAGATGTTGCTCCCCTCATCCCTGACGATTGGCTATGCTACCTAGAAGCTGATGGAGGTTGTCGTATGACGACCTCTGAAGGGCACCACAGGATTAGACAATAGTGTGCTAGATAGTCCAGTGTTATAGGACAGCTTTTTATGTTCCTAAGAAGAAAAGGAAGAGAGGGAAGAAGAAACCCAACAGCATCTGAACGTTTCCCCTCCTGATTTTTCTTAACATTACCTTTTAAAAAAACAACTCTATCCACTAAGGAATAATTACACGCCTTTGCAGTGTACTTTTGAACTAATTATTAATGAAAACACCAGCTAATTAATCCCTGCAGCACTTCTGCCCACCAGGCCTCTCGGCTTGTGTGCCAAGAAAGGAACTGAGGAGGCTGATGGTTGACTGGGCAGATGGAGGAAGCTTTTAATGATAAACTCTTTAGCTTCTCTTTCACTTCTTTTCTTGCTTTTGCAGTTTAGTTTTTTTAATTTAATTTTTAAAAAGTTATTCTTGGGGGCAGGATGTTGAGTGTGTAAATTTTGTTTTTAGGATTGTTGGAATCAATTTGAATAAAAAGTGAAATATGTAGGGAGACTCATGCACACCTCAAAATAGTGTTTTCTCGGGAAACCATAACAGCAGCCACTCAGGATAGGACCCCATAAGAATAACCCCAATGGGGCATATTGGGACAATTTTTCCTGTCCCCCACCTGCCCCACCCTGCAGCATGCACAGGCTCTTAGCTCTGACTGAAGGGAGGGAGAAATTGTGAAGGGTATTATACATATGCACAGACTTCCTATTCTCCTTCATGTACATGTGTTGCAAAGGAAATAACAGAGCTCTGTCATATTGTATGGGCATTTCTCCACACATGGGTATAGCACCCATGCAGAGAATGTCACAATAGTGCAGTCCTCAACATGCAACTTGGCAACAGTATGGACTCCACAAAATTCCTTCTTAACTTGTATGGCTCGTGCACAGCAGAGATAGGGAATCTGTGGAGCAGCAGAGGTTGCTAGACTACAAATGCCATCATGAACGGCCACAGGTCATGCTGGATGGAGGTGATGGGAATTGGAGCCCAACACCTGGAGGGCTGCAGGTGCCTCATCTCTGGTGTGTGAACTGTTGCTGTTTTGTGGGAGGGATTCAAACAGATGACCCCCCCCAATTCAGGTTGTGCAATTAGAGCCAGTTTGGTGCTTCTGGGCAACTAGTCTGCTTCCAAAACAAATCATACTTTTTTACAGTAGAATAGAATCATAGAGTTGGAAGAGACCACAAGGGCCATCGAGTCCAACCCCCTGCCAAGCAGGAAACACCATCAGAGCAGTCCTGACATATGGTTGTCAAGCCTCTGCTTAAAGACCTCCAAAGAAGGAGACTCCTTCTTTGAAAGGGAAAGAAAGGGAAAGAAAGGGAAAGAAAGGGAAAGAAAGGAAAAGAAAGGGAAAGGAAATTTCACTAAAAAGTGCAGGATAAAAGTGAAGACGCATGTAGTTGGGGGTTTACTTATGCAACTGGTGCTGTGGGTTAAATCACAGAGCCTAGGACTTGCCAATCAGAAGGTCGGCGGTTCGAATCCCCGCAACAGGGTGAGCTCCCGTTGCTCAGTCCCTGCTCCTGCCAACCTAGCAGTTCCAAAGTATGCCAAAGTGCAGGTCGATAAATAGGTACCGCTCTGGTGGGAAGGTAAACGGCATTTCCGTGAGCTGCTCTGGTTCTCCAGAAGCAGCTTAGTCATGCTGGCCACATGACCTGGAAGCTGTACGCCGGCTCCCTCGGCCAATAAAGCGAGATGAGCACCGCAACCCCAGAGTCGGTCACAACTGGACATAATGGTCAGGGGTCCCCTTTACCTTTACCTTTATCACTGTGTTTGGATGAATCAGGGAAAGTTAAAGTGGGGTTTTAAATTAAAAAAACCCTATATCAGTAGCAGCTACTGCTTTCTTTCTTTTTAAAGCACACATGTGGATCTACTGTATCTGGGTTACCCTTTGCCCATACATTTATACTGATGCCTGTTTCAGTTTTTAACTCAGTTTCTTGTTGACATTAGCGGGTAACCCTCCCCCCAGCAGCAATCAATTTTTGTATGTGTAGATAGACTTTTCACAGTATGATCATTATTTCTTAATTACTTCATGCCAAGCCCTGCGAGAAAAGAAACGTTCTCCTGAAACATCAGAAAAGCAAATGGCAAGTTCTTTAAAAATAAAAAATATAAATAAATAAATTTGTGTGCAATTCTGTAGAATACTACACTCAAGGGAGGATTAGGGTTGGGTTTTTCAGTGCTGGGCTTCATTCTGAGCCATTTTCATGATTCATTGCCACGTTGGTAGGAGAAAATATAGGTTCATAAAGCTTTAGCTTTCAGGGCTGTAGGTAATAATAATAATAATATTTTTTATTTATACCCCACCCTCCCCAGCCAAGGCTGGGCTTAGGGCGGCTAACAAGCAATAAACAAGTTGAATGAATACAACTGAAAAACAAGATTAAAATACAACATTAAAATATTGAAACATTAAAATATTAAAATGCAGCCTCATCACAGGAGGAGAAAGGAAAAAGAAAGAGGGGGAGGGGGAGGGGTGGGAATCAAATTGGCTCCAAGCCAAAGGCCAGGCCAAAGGCCCTGCGGAAAGAAATCAGATCCTGCAGGGCCCTGGTCTCATGAGGCAGAGCGTTCCACCAGGCCGGGGCCAGTGTTGAGAAGGCCCTGGCTCTGGTTGAAGCTAATCTAACTTCCTTAGGGCCCGGGACCACTAGGTTGTTGCTATTTATGGACCTTGAGGCTCTCCGTGGGGCATACCAGGAGAGGCGGCCCCGTAGGTACGAGGGTCCTAGGTAGGGGTACAAAACAGAGCATCTCGGAAGATCCAGAGTTCAGGAGTGCAGAATAATCTCTGGTATAACATGAATCTATTTGCCGAAACAAAATTCAGTTCAGTTTACATTTAAAGGCAAATCTTCCTAATCTACACTTTCTGAAATAAAACACAAACACAAACACACTGGAGAGCCAGTGTGGTGTAGTGGTTAAGAGCGGTAGTCACGTAATCTTGGGAACCGGGTTCGCATCTCCGCTCCTCCACATGCAGCTGCTGGGTAACCTTGGGCCAGTCACACTTCTCTGAAGTCTCTCAGCCCCACTCACCTCACAGTGTGTTTGTTGTGGGGGAGGAAGGGAAAGGAGAATGTTAGCCGCTTTGAGACTCCTTCCGGTAGTGATAAAGCGGGATATCAAATCCAAGCTCTTCTTCTTCATCATCCATCCTTGGAAATGTGCCCTTCTGCAAATTTTGCAGCGCAGGTCTCCTGCCAAGTAATATGTACAAAAATGCATATATTCTGGCAAAGTGTGAAAAGAAAACCACATATTTCTGAACATAACATGCAAAAAGCGTTGCCTACAAAAATGTACACCTAAGGAGAAAATCACACTAAGATGCTGTCGACAAATTTTATGAGGATTATTTTTTAAAAAATTGCTAACTGATGTGGAAATGTGGAGAACTTAAATTTGGAAAAATGAGAAACTGGGAGAAACCAACACTGATAGATTTGCCCATCCCTTCACAGGAGGAAGATTTATTGTCATATATGTCATATTTGTGTGCATAACGCACACAAAACAGTTGATTAAGGGGCTGTGACTCCAGGGCCCACTGAATTTCTAATAACATAGAATCTCTAGCTAGAGCACATGGTACCCCAAGAGAGGGAGTGGGGGCTGAATGCAAAAATGGCATAAATAAAATTATGGGAGGAATTCTTTTTTTTTTTAAATGATATTTATTAAAATTTCAAAAACAAAAAATTACATAATTAAAGAGAAAAGAAACAAGGAAAAAAAGGAAAAAAAGAAAAAACATACAAAATACAAAGTACAGAAAAAACAAAGATAAAAAAACACTTAAAAACAAATCAATCCTTCCGTATCTTACATTTCATTTCCTTACTTCCCTGACCTCCTCTCACCTCCCTTTTTTGTATTCCAGTTCAGTTGGTTAATTCAGCAATTCCTTTCCCTCTTTATTATTGTCTTAGTTCTTTAAATTAATATATTATAACTTTAGATTCTCACTTATTAGCAATCCATTTTTACATAGACCTTTAAGACATTGCTGCTAAAACCACTTAACTTTATTCTGACATCATTCTAACATTCATTAATTTTGCAATATTTCTGTAAATAGTCTTTAAATTTCTTCCAATCTTCTTCCACCGACTCTTCTCCCTGGTCTCGGATTCTGCCAGTCATTTCCGCCAGTTCCATGTAGTCCATCACCTTCATCTGCCATTCTTCCACAGTGGGTAGATCTTGTGTCTTCCAATACTTTGCAATAAGTATTCTTGCTGCTGTTGTGGCATACATAAAGAAAGTTCTATCCTTCTTTGGCACCAATTGGCCGACTATGCCCAGGAGAAAGGCCTCTGGTTTCTTCAAGAAGGTATATTTAAATACCTTTTTCATTTCATTATAGATCATCTCCCAGAAAGCCTTAATCCTTGGGCACGTCCACCAAAGGTGAAAGAATGTACCTTCAGCTTCTTTACATTTCCAACATTTATTATCGGGCAAATGATAGATTTTTGCAAGCTTGACTGGGGTCATGTACCACCTGTATATCATTTTCATAATATTCTCTCTTAAGGCATTGCATGCCGTAAACTTCATACCTGTGGTCCATAACTGTTCCCAGTCAGCCATCATTATGTTATGTCCAACATCTTGTGCCCATTTAATCATAGAAGATTTCACCGTTTCATCCTGAGTATTTCATTTCAACAGCAAGTTATAAATCTTTGACAGAATCTTAGTTTTGGGTTCTAACAGTTCTATTTCTAATTTTGATTTTTCCACCTGGAAAAAATTATGGGAGGAATTCAATGCTGCATTATTTGGATTGTTCTGTCACCACAATCCTTGCCAGACAGAATGATCCATGCTCTCGTCCTCCCCAGTTATGTTTTGCAGGTTCTCCTGGCTGTCCAGATTGGATTTGAGGGGAGGCGTGGGGGTGTGTTGGGGGAGGAAAGGCTGGGAAAGCCCCTTTGCTCTAGTGGAAGTCCTTGTGCCGACTTCTCCTAGTGCACCATATTAATCAAATCTAGATCTTTCTGAATTTATTATTAATTTCTCCTGGGCATAGTCGGCCAAGTGGTGCCAAAGAAGGATAGAACTTTCTTTATGTATGCTACAACAGCAGCAAGAATACTTATTGCAAAGCATTGGAAGACACAAGATCTACCCACACTGGAGGAATGGCAGATGAAAATGATGGACTACATGGAATTGGCGGAAATGACTGGCAGAATCCGAGACCAGGGAGAAGAGTCGGTGGAAGAAGATTGGAAGAAATTTAAAGACTACTTACAGAAATATTGTAAAATTAATGAATGTTAGAATGATGTTGGATTGAAGTCAAGTGGTTTCTAGCTGTAATGGTATAAAAGAATATGGAAAAATTGGATTTTCAATACGTAAAAACCTCATGCTATAATATATTAAGACTAAAGATCAGGATTAAAAAGGAGGGAAAGGAATTGCTGGACTAATAAATTGAACTGGAATACAAAAAAGGGAGGTATGAGGAGGTCCGGGAAACAAGTAAATGTAAGAGAAGTGATGAAAAGATGGAATTGTTTTTAATTGGTTTTTTTTGTATTTTGTATTTTTCTTTTTTCTATTTTTCTCTTTCTTATTTATGTATCCTTCTTTTGAAACCTTAATAAAGATCATTAAAAAAATAAAAATTGATCTTTCTGAATTTGATTTTTGGCTGGATTTTTAACCAGAGCTTTTCAAATCAGCAGATTGCTTCAATCTTTTCTGGAGTTGCCCACAAGAACTTTTGAATCAGCTTCCTTTAGATAGCTAATATCTGACAGCAAACGAATAGAACAAGCAAATACCACGAATATTCATTGGCCTCTCCCTGCCTTCCAAATTGTGTCTTTTGAATAGGATTGCCATATTTCTGCTTTTTTCCCCATCATGTTGCTATACATCCAGGTTTTCCCTGCATAGCTGTCAACTTTTCCCTTTTCTTGCGAGGAATCCTATTCGGAATAAGGGAATTTCCCTTTAAAAAAGGGAAAAGTTGACAGCTAGGTTTCCCTGACGTTTGGCCATTTTTACACCCGAACACCACAACATGCCAAGACTTTTCCTGACCTATGGCAAGTCTACTTTTGAAGTTATTTTCATGCATAATGGAACCAACATTCAGTTGTCTTATTCTGTGTTAAGAGCACTCATAAACGTTTTAGTAGCTTGGTAAGATTCCCAAATGTGTTGCTTCCAGACAGAGGCTAAATTTGCAAACAGGTCGTTGAGAGATCACATGGTGTATGTGTGTTTCTTTATCAGATTTCTCCCAGAAAGAGGAAATCCAGATTATATGGTGGGAAAGGGGATAAAGGTTGGCAGTTTTATGCCAATGAAATGCAGATGCTGTGGGGGGAAAGCCACAATTTTTTAAATTATCCATGTGGGAGGCACGTTCGCAACCCGCAGAGCCGCGTCTGTGCACGCGCGGGTTGCGATTCAACGCTTCTGCACATGCGCAAAGCATGATTTAGTATTTCTGTGCATGCGCAAGTGCTGAAACCTGGAAGTAACCCATTCCGGTACTTCCGGGTTCGGCGCAGTGCGCAACCCGAAAATGCGCAACCTGAAGCATCTGTAACCCGAGGTATGACTGTACTAGGGACGCGGGTGGCGTTGTGGTCTAAACCACTGAGCCTCTTGTGCTCGCCGATCAGAAGGTTAGCGGTTCGAATCCCCGCAACGGGGTGAGCTCCTGTTGCTCGGTCCCAGCTCCTGCCAACCTAGCAGTTCAAAAGCACGCCAAAAAAGTGCAAGTCGATGAATAGGTACCACTCCCGCAGGAAGGTAAATGGCGTTTCCGTGCACTGCTCTGGTTTCGGTGTTCCGTTGCGCCAAAAGCGGCTTAGTCATGCTGGCCACATAACTTAGAAAAACTGTCTGCGGACAAACGCTGGCTCCCTTGGCCTGTAAAGCGAGATGAGTGCTGCAACCCCAGACACTTCTGCAACTGGACTTAACTGTCAGGGGTCCTTTACCTTTTTTATATTCAGTACTGGATCAAGTCCCCACCCTGGAAAAGCTGGGATCCCAATCTTCTCCCTTCCCTTCCCAAAATACGATAAATAATATTTATGAAATGACAGCAACATCACCTAGCATCATAGACAAAGCCACAAACTGACCCTAGTTCAAAGCTACCTGCCTCCTCCCTAGGTCTATATGTGCATGTGGAAGTCTATGCTCTTTTGCCTTACTCACAGCTGTGAATTACTCACAGCTAATTCAAGGACGCGGCTGGCACTGTGGGTTAAACCATAGAACCTAAGACTTGCCAATCAGAAGGTCAGCGGTTCAAATCCCCGTGACGGGGTGAGCTCCCGTTGCTCGGTCCCTGCTCCTGCCAACCTCACAGTTTGAAAGCACGTCAAAGTGCAAGTAGATAAATAGGTACCGCTCCGGCGGGAAGTTAAACGACATTTCCGTGCGCTGCTCTGGTTCGCCAGAAGCGGCTTAGTCATGCTGGCCACATGACCTGGAAGCTGTATGCCGGCTCCCTCGGCCAATAAAGCAAGATGAGTGCCGCAACCCCAGAGTCGGTCATGACTGGACCTAATAGTCAGGGATCCCTTTACCTTTACCTTTAATTCAAGAATGCAAGCCAGTGAGGTGGGATTGCTTGCATTTTCCACAAAGAGGCAAAATTTGAGAGTATTGCAACACAGACTGTTCCAGTAGGCGGCGGCACCAAATTGGGTGCATTGCAAACATTTCAGCCAACAGGTGAAAGTAGCAAATACTATGTATTCCTTCCAGCAGGTGGCAGCAAAAAGGCTCCTATACTTCCTTTTGGTCTCTGCAGATCTAGCCAATAGGAAATGCCAAAGCAAGATCTGCTTGTGTGGCTCACAAATCTCCTATCCTGCTAGTGGTTTCTAGAAAAAATAAGCCTAATTATTTGTAATTTCCAACAACAGGGATTTTTTTGCCTAATGCTGTGGTGATCCTTTAGCCATAAAATGTTGAAATGCGTCAGACATATAGGCTATTTATAGCAACTGGAGGTGTTCCAGATTCGTTCCACCAAACCGGAGTAGCGCTGCTTCATCTAAGTCAATTTTTGTCCTCGTTTTAGTCACCTTATGTTGGAAGTTCAAGCAATTATTTTAGTAATGCAGAACAGGTGACCAAACTTGCCTTATCAGGTTGTGCCCCTCCTCAGCCCCCGAGTCTTTAAATAGAACAGCTGGTACATTTGCAGGTTTATCTTTGAGGGTGTCCACAGCATTTCCATACGGACTGCAAGAAGACCAAACCTATCCATTCTGAAGGAAATCAGCCCGGAGTGCTCACTGGAAGGACAGATCGTGAAGCTGAGGCTCCAATACTTTGGCCACCTCATGAGAAGAGAAGACTCCCTGGAAAAGACCCTGATGTTGGGAAAGATGGAGGGCACAAGGAGAAGGAGACGACAGAGGACGAGATGGTTGGACAGTGTTCTCGAAGCTACCAGCATGAGTCTGACCAAACTGCGGGAGGCAGTGGAAGACAGGAGTGCCTGGCGTGCTCTGGTCCATGGGGTCACGAAGAGTCGGACACGACTAACCAACTAAACAACGAACAACAACAACACAGCATTTCCATATATTTTTCTGCAATGGTGAGCTAGAGTGGCCTTGCTCTCCTCCTCTTGTGTCTTGTTTAGATTGTGAGCCTGGGAGCAGGGCCACTGCAACCCGCCACTAACCACTAGCCACCCTTGCCTTGGGTCTTGGCTTGGGAGCAGCACACACACCTTGCTCCAGAAAGATCACAGAGTTCCGAGCTGTCAGGTTGCCTTATCATGGGAAAGAAACACAGGGCAGCAACATCCACCAGAAAGAAAGTTAAGAGGAAGGATGGGGATGTGGTGTGGCTTCCTGTATAAAAGCGCATTTATATCTGATGAAATAAATTATTATTATTATTATTATTATTATTATTATTATTATTAAGAAGAAGAAGAGTTTGGATTTGATATCCCGCCTTTCACTCCCCTTCAGGAGTCTCAAAGCGGCTAACATTCTCCTTTCCCTTCCTCCCCCACAACAAACACTCTGTGAGGTCAGTGAGACTGAGAGACTTCAGAGAAGTGTGACTGGACCAAGGTCAACCAGCAGCTGCATGTGGAGGAGCGGAGAGGCGAACCCGGTTCCCCAGATTACGAGACTACCGCTCTTAACCACTACACCACACTGGCTTATTATTATTATTATTATTATTATTATCTTTGCAGCATTTAAAAAATATTTTGGCAGCATGCTGAACTGCCTGTAAACCCTGGGTGTCGTAAGTGAAAAGGCCCAGCCAATAATAATGATGTAAGCCCAAAACAAAGGTCCGTATAGTTAAAGCTATGGTTTTCCCAGTAGTGATGTATGGAAGTGAGAGCTGGACCATAAAGAAGGCTGATCATCAAAGAATTGATGCTTTTGAATTAGGGTGCTGGAGGGGACTTGAGAGTCCCATGGACTGCAAGAAGATCAAACCGATCCATTCTTAAGGAAATCAGCCCTGAGTACTCATTGGAAGGACAGATCCTGATGCTGAGACTCCAATACTTTGGCTACCTCATGAGAAGAGAAGACTCCCTGGAAAAGACCCTGATGTTGGGAAAGATGGAGGGCACAAGGAGAAGGGGACGAAAGAGGACAAGATGGTTGGACAGTGTTCTTGAAGCTATAAACATGAGTTTGACCAAACTGTGGGAGGCAGTGGAAGACAGGAGTGCCTGGCCTGCTCTGGTCCATGGGGTCACAAAGAGTCGGACACGACTAAACAACTAAACAACAACAAGACCAAAATGGCTTATCTTCTGAGTTTATGCCAATAAAACTCAGAGACAAGAGGAGTTAGGAGTCCATTGTTGTTTATTGTAAGGCAATAGTTTACAGTCGAATTGCTTCGCAAAACCGCAACCCCGCCCAAGGTTCCAGGCGGTGGTATTTATAACATTTCAAACAAAGGATTTCAATTTTCACCAATCATGTACATCATTACCTCACTTCATGTTTAATACACATGCACAATAAGCGTTAGCAATTTCTGCTGATTCAGCTCTGATTCCCACCGCTCTGTTAAAATACTAATTTCTGTTACGTTGTGTTAGTCTGCATGCTGGGAACCTGTGTCACGCGTAGCCATTTGGCCATGTATCAACTTACGTTCTAGCTTATGAGCTGTATCTTTGTGATTCACATATTAGCTATACTTCTGCCCCAATGCGGGGCGGCAAGTTGCAGAATCATCAGTTTCATAAAGCTACAGGTTACCCTAACTTCTCTATTAGAAGCACAATCAAGGATTTATAGGGGTTCACATTATCACATTTATTGTGGCCCTTTGGGCCACCACCATAATAATAATATTATTATTATCGGGCACCACCACCGAGAAGGCCCTCTGCCTGGTTCCCTGTAACCTCACTTCTCGCAGGCAGGGAGCCGCCAGAAGGCCCTCGGAGCTGAACAATGGGGATGGAGACCCCATTAGGGATCTCTAATGGCAAAAGGAGATCAGGACATAGTAACCTGAAAGACTGTCTACTCCTACACAGACCTGTAAAACCATTTAGAATACCTGGAGAATTTTGACATGCCTCATGCCCTACAGATTATCATTGGGCGTTGACTCCCAAAATGGGCAGTTTTTTCTGTTGCCCCTGTACTATAGAATGCCTTTCTCTCTGCCATACATGAAGCAGCAACCAACTGTTCCTTCAGACCATATCCACACCCAATGTACATTTAAAGCACACTGAATTCACATTTAAAGCACATTAAAAGGTAAAGGTAAAGGGACCCCTGACCATTAGGTACAGCCATGACCGACTCTGGGGTTGTGGCGCTCATCTCGCTTTATTGGCCGAGGGAGCCGGCATACAGCTTCCGGGTCATGTGGCCAGCATGACTAAGCCGCTTCTGGCGAACCAGAGCAGTGCACGGAAACACCGTTTACCTTCCCGCCGGAGCGGTACCTATTTATCTACTTGCACTTTGACATGCTTTTGAACTGCTAGGTTGGCAGGAGCAGGGACCAAGCAACGGGAGCTCACCGCGTCGCGGGGATTCAAACCGCTGACCTTCTGATCGGCAAGTCCTAGGCTCTGTGGTTTAACCCACAGTGCCACCTGTGTCCCTTAAAGCACATTGCTTCCCTCAAATAACCCCGGAAACTGTAGCACTTCATTTCCCAGGATTCTTTACGGGAGGCCATGTGTGTTGGATGTGCATTGAATGTGATTTAATCATCTGGATCTGCTATCTTGAGTGGTAGAACACACGTCACCAATATAAAGACTTTGGTAGGTTAGCTTAGCCCCCACCCAGAGATCTGCTTCTGGCTGGTGGTACACACACACACACACACACACACACACACACACACAATCTCTTCCAATTATTCTGATACTGCTTGGAAGGAAAGGAGGGGAGAAAACACTTTTTAGCTCTAGGGGGAAAGAAAAAGGAAGCGATCAGGAAGGAAAGAATCGTGAAAGTGTGGAACAATGGGGCAGCTTCAGAAGGCATCGGCAGGGGCTGCAAAAAAGTGAGTTCACAGCCTCCAGGCCAGAGGTTGCCCAGCTGTGCTACAGAGATAGCAGAGGTAGAAGTCTGTTGTGTATGCCAGGCCCAAACCAATCACGAAATTTCGTTGATGGCGCCGCAGCCCATTATATTCCTCCAAAGCGCCTTCCCTACAATATACAAGTAGTTATATTGCAGGGATAAATCCTCTAATTTACATCCCTGCCATGAATGCTTTATACATCCTAAACCTATTTTTAAGCTTTGGTGCCACAAAGATCACAACTATTCCATCAGTGGGTATCTTAAAAAAAAGAAAAGAAGAAGCACACATTCAACAAAGATACGACGATATGTGAATGTTCAGCTTGGGTTTTCAATCGTTCTTCCTCTCGGCTTGGTTGCCGATGTGAATGAAAATTAGTCTGAAAAGCATGGGGTGATAAAAGCCTTAGATGAATGGTAATTAAATTGATACAGCCCTGTAGCTGAGCCCTTCACTGCTCTTAAGGTTCCGACTGACACCGGCTGAAATATTCTCTGCTAACTCATCTGCTCTTTAGTATTTAAGTTGCATGAACTGCACATTAATTCTAAGTGGCTCAAAAGGTGGCAATGGAGTTAGTGTTGAATGGGGACTCCATGTGGTTCTTTCCCCCTGTGTTAGAGAAAGCTGCCTTATATCAGGCCAAGTTTTTGCCCAGCCAGCCAGCATTGTCTACTCTGTCTGGCAGTGGTTCTTCAGGGTCTCAGGCACTATAAATGGATAAATGTGGTATAAATGTGGTTTAAATGAATGGCGGATGTTAGACAAGGGGCTGTCCTGTATTTTACTAACATATTGACCTTGGGTCCTTTTCTGGAAAAAACACATGTTCTCGCTCTGAAGAAAGTCATTAAAAAAATCTTTCACTTATTGCAAGCTGTCAGAACAAGCGCAATGCGATCTGATGCGATCTCAAGGCCTTATATCAGTTGATTTGTATTTATAGGAGACCATTAAGAGAAAATACAAGAGATCAGGAGGCTGGGAAAATGAGGCAGAATATGTAGGAGAAACTCTCTAAATGCTTCAAAGATACTCCCAAGATTCCTTGCGTGATAACTTGACAGTGCTTATTGTGTGACATTTTCTGTTTTGTATGAAGAGGTGTCATTTTTGTAAGAAAACAGTAATTTATTATTCGCTTATGTATGAAAGGAAAAGATAAAAACCAACACAGCTTTAAAATTGGGCAAGTGGAGTCATGGATAGCTGTAACTCAGAGAAGGGGAACCTGTGGCGGCCTTCCAGATGTTGCTCGACTCCAACGCCCATCAGCCCCAGGCAACATAGAATGATGAATGGCCACATCCAAAGGCAACAAGTTCACCATCCCCTCTGTAACTGATTCCAGTACAGTTGTACCTTGGTTGACGAACGCCTTGCGACTCGAACATTTTGGCTCCCAAATGTCGCAAACCCAGAAGCGAATGTTATGGTTTGCGAATGTTCGATGGAACCCGAATGTCCAACATGGCTTCTGCGGCTTCCAATTGGCTGCAGGAACTTCCTGCAGCCAATTGGAAGCCATGCCTTGGTTTCAGAACGTTTTGGAAGTCGAATGGACTTCCGGAACAGATTCCATTCAACTTACAACGACTGTATACCAGGAAATGATATAGCCCAGTGGTTCTCCAAGGGTGCAACACAGCACACTACTGTGGCAAGAGAGGATGGGAAGTGTGGAGGAAAGATTTAAGGACAATCAAAGAAACATCAAAACATTTCAGTGCCATATGGTATAGTATCTAAATATTTTTTTTATTTGCAGAGCATGGATAGATGCCTTTTCAAAACGAGAGCATCAGGGACAATCCTGAGGACCATCCTAGTTCTGTTTTCCAATGTATTTCTTATCAGTGAAAAATTCAGCGTAGCACAAGAAAATTTATATTCTGAAAGTGTGGTCCA